CAAACAGGAGGGTGCTGCAAGTTTGAGGCCAGCCTGAGCTACGCAGTGAGTTCAAGGCCAGCCTGGATACATAGTGAGACCCTGTCTCACCGGCCCCCCCAAAAGAACTCAGAGAACAATGAAAAGATCGTTACCTGTTCTAATAAGCATTCCCGTTCGTCGATGAGCTTTTTCAACCTAATATCTGAAGAAATGAGAAAGACACAGGTTTGGGTGAATCTCCGAGGGGGACGGTCAGCTCCTGGCTCACTGGGCAGGCGCGTCTGGGTTAGTGAAATGAATGATGGAGGGATTACACACGTACCATGGTGAAGGAGGCCACAGACCGGGCGGGAGGGCTCAGCCGGGTGGCGCAGCCTCCCCAGCATGCTTCCTCGGAGCGGCTTCCGGCTCATGCAAACAGCTAATCTTCTACTAGTTAGCATGCAAGAACGCTAGGCAAACCACACTGCAATACAAGAGCTCACAGCTTCTCGGTTTAGCATCATTAGCAATGCACGATCACACAGAGAATCGGGACCAGGAGCACTGGGCCCTTCTTGTTCCTTCTGCAGCACTGGGGATATTACCCAGTGCCTCCCGACTGAGCTACAACCCTAGCCTGGGCTGGGCTTGTGATCTCCCACCTCAGCCTCCCAGAGTGCTGCGGTTGTAGGCCTGTGCCGCCATGCGTGGCTGGCACCAATGCTCTGAATAGCCTTCCTTTCTGAGCTGATGCCCATGTGTTCTCATCTTTCTCGTTTCTCTCAGACTCACAGGTGTCAGAGCTTTGACCCCATGTTTACAAATCACGAGTCTGCTGACTGCACATCTGCTAACCCAGTCTCCAAAGCTGCCATTCTTATAAAGAAAAGTGCAGAGGCTGCTTTGTTTTCTGAAACTCCTCCCACCCCAGGCCTATAGGGATGCATACACACAGAGAGATCAAAATATACAGTGAATGTTTACATTAAAACTTAATACAGAAAAAGACACACTGTCATCGATCTCCCTGAAATACGGCCCCTCGCTTTGCGCACACTCATCTCACCATTCTTAGCACTTTCTGATGCAGCTCTGGAAGCCCTCTTTCCTGAGCATCTCTACAAGGGATGATCAAAATATAGTGAATGCTGCTGCCAAGCGCCATCCAAGGGAAAGGCAGGCTGTTAAAAACATGTTGGTGTTCTCCTCCACTTTATTCACTGGTAGGGCCCCGTGCCACTTTTGGCTCTTCCCCAAAGTCAAAATGACCTTGAAAGGTCAATGTTTTGAATCAGTTTAGGACATCGAGGCAGACAGGACAGCGCAACTAAAGATAGGAAACAGAACTGCTTCAGAAAGTTGCAAAACTGATGGGACAAGTGTGTTTGCAGAAAGGGGAAGGACTTGCGGGGGACTTGTGGCACTGTGTCTTTTATCGTAATATATTAAAAAAATCAAACATTCACCATATTTTTCGATGACACCTTTTACATAAGCATCTCTGAGTCACAGAAAACGTCAAGGGCCACAGTCTTTGGGTTCAGAGGGGAACCGAGGTGTGGGGAAAGCTCACACCAATTTAAAGGCAAATTCAGGATGATGGGATGATGTGGAGGCTGAGGCACCCCCACAAAGGCAGGCACTGTCCCAACAGGCTCACACCGGCCGGGACCACTGGGCGGCTGTCACTGCGCCCTTCCTCTTCGGGGGGAGTAGGGACCTCCTTAAGGCCTCTCGGCCCAGCCTCACGGGTGCCTGCCTACTGCGCTATAGGGGTTTCCAGATCTAGATGCCCCTTTCCACGAGGAACCCTGGCTCCTGGCCCAAGGCTGACTCCTGAGGGACCCCCGAGCTCCTAGTTCTTAGTAAATAATTAACCTGGAAAATGATGCATAGAAAACCCATCCTTATTCTCATTTAAAAAATCATCCAGCCACATCCTAACCCAAGTTATGTGATTTCTCGAGTTGTTTTTCCACAGACCCTAAGTTGTGATTTTGCAAGGTACAGTATGACAAAATAAGACAGCAGAAAACCTTAAGCATAGTATAAATTTATGATTGTTTGGAGTCCATTTCAATTTGCATGCATTCTTTTACTTCTGAAAGCCCACCAACACTGAAACAAACAACAAGAAAACCACAGATGGAATGGGGTCAATAAACCCAGCTCTTTTATCCAGCAGTACTTTTAACCTCCTATATTTTATACTCCTACATATAAGAACTCTAGGCATTACAAGACACACTGAATACACCGGAACAGGATCTTGAAGCTCATGTCTCTAGCTATTCTAACCTTTATTATTTTTTCTCTTAGAAGATTTCAAATAGCCTAGAAAAATAATAGAAAATAAATGTTAAAATAGCAGAGCTAGTGAAAAAAAAAGATAATTGACCTGTAGTCTTGTGGTAAGAATATGAAAAAATAGGTAGAAGTCGAACTTTTAAAGAAGATAAACTTTAAAGCAGAATTGGAGAGGAAAACACCAACTAAACAGCTTTAAGAAAATGGAAAGAAAGCAAATTATTTGATACAGAGAAAGTAAGAGTGAGAGCACTGCTGCTCGTGGCTCTAAGATTAGCGAGTCTGGAACTGGGGATGCAGCTCAGTGGCACGATCCCTGCCTCTCAAGCACAAGGCCCTGAGTTTGATCCCTGGTACCGCAAAAACAAAACAAAACAAAAGACAAAACAAAGATTACTGAGTCTAACTGTGGGTAAGCAGAGTCACATCACGGACGGTGTGGCACTTAGCAAGGGCAGCAAACACTGTGACACACTCAATTATAAACGGGCTTCTTTTATACTGGGAAATTAGTGTCAGCAGGCTACTGAAAGTATTTTAATGACATTTAAAAAATCTGTTTCTTATCACTTAAATTCTAGCAAACTTTGTGGCACACAACTCAGAGCCCCACGAAGTAGCCGGCAGAGAGGAAAGGCCTTTAGGGTGTTCCTGGGGCAGCCACACCCACAGGGCAGGAGTCTGAGCCCTGCTCAGATGCCTCCTTCCGCCTGCACCCAGCCAGCTCTTCTGTGCAGGGCAGCTGAGGCGACAGCAGCCCCAGTCCGCAGGCCCAGACTTTCTAGCAGCCACCCCCATGTGGCCCTGCTTGCAATTCTTAACAGGCAGGTGCAGGGGGCACCCTCATTTCAGAGAGCAAAGTAAGGCTGGGTAGGTGCAGGCCTGCTCACAACCATGAGCTTCCAAGACGGATTCTCACTTAGCCCCTGGGCCCAGGATGAAAGGGTGTGTGTGTGTGTGTGTGTTAATTCCCAGGCCCTGCTGGAGGCACCTCCTTCCGCAAAGGCGGACCCAGGCAGCCAGACACCTCTTTCTTCTGTCGGTGGGGCCCAAGGGGTCAGCAGAGGTGAGGACAGGCTCCTCCATCAGCCGCCAGCCCTCCCATTTCGAGACTAGGAAGCCTAAGTATAAATACAGAGCAAAAGGAAAGACAGCCGCTAGGAAACGGGCAGACGGATCTTTTGCAAATGGAAAGGGGACAAGACATGGAGGGAGGTGTGGGGAAGAGGATGTAGAGAGAACGAAGATGCGTGATGTCTAGGCACCAGCTCCCACGAGGGACGAGACATCACTACTGCACACAGGGCAAGGAGAGTAAAAATAAAAATTGAAAAAAAGCCTGTATGCTGAAAAGAAATGTATTACCATGCAAACTGCTCATCAATAAAATTATTTAAGGAAAAATAAAAGAGGAACAGTACATGGGGAAGGACAAACAGAAAAAGGGTTTTCCTCCCCCCAGAACAAAGCTTTCTACATGTCCACGGTCACTGCACTGCACAGCAGGTATTCTGACCACACACACACCTCCCTCTCCCTGGGGCCTGGATGGGTGTCTGGGACAAGTCTTCCTATTGTGGTCCCGTGCCTCAGTGGGCCTGGTGCTCCCAGAATGCTGTGGTCTCCTGCAGATGGGGCCTGCAGGCAGACACAGGACCTTTCAGTCCTCCTGGCCCCGAGTGGTGTTCCAGGGACCTGGTGAGATCTCCACACCTTCTGACACCGAGGGCACCTAAGTTCACCTTTTCTGTGACTCTCGGCTGCTGTGCTGGGCTGTGGAGCATCACGCTGTGCACAGAGCCGTGACTGATGTTCATTTGTGGGGAGGCTCTGGAATGGTCAAGAAACAAAGCCGGGCCTGGGGGCACATGTCTGTGATCCCAGCACTCGGGAGGCTGAGGCAGGGGGATCGCTGCAAGTTCAAGGCCAGCCTGGGCTACATAGTGAGTTCAAGGGAGCCTGAACTACATAGTGAGACCCTGTCCCAAAACAACAAAGGGGGTGTGTGTGTGAAGAAATGGTTCAAGTGTTTGGACACTTGTGCTCCCTCCTGATTCTCAGCCATGTGCTCCCAGCAGACATCTCGTCCCAGCCTCTTGGTCCGGTCCCCAGCACGGTCCCCAGGGTCCGAAGTCCTGAGGAGCGCCTGAAAGAGTGGCCGAGGGACCTCGACACTGGGGCAAGGAGCCGGAGCACCTGAGGGGCAGCAGAGAGCTAAGAGGGCTTGACGTGTCACGTCAGTGATGCTGGCATGCGGGTCGCTTCCCACGGGGCCACTAAGGGTGGGCCCGGAGCTGCATCTCGACACGCAGGCAGTGCAGGCACCCGCTGGAGTCCTGCAGGCCTGGCCTCCGAGTCTGCTGTTCCACAGCCCAGGCGGACAGGACGAACCATCCACCACCCTCTTCTTCAGGGCCCTGGGGCAGCAAGGAAAATTGGGCTTTTCACGCCTCTGCCAGGCCTTCCCGCCAGGCAGGGCGGCGGCTCATTTCAGGTGAGCAATGGAACAGAGACCCTCGTCAGCTGGGGTGGCACCTGGGGGTCCAGGGAGCGTGGGGGTGACGCGAGAGAGGCCTTCTCGGTGCCCAAGGACGGGCTGGTGGGGGTGTTCAAGCATCACTGGGGGTCACTAGGAGAGGACACACACAGGAGGGGGCGCCGCTGGGGGGGACCTGCGACACGGGCCAGGGTTAGAACTCAAGGGCCCAAAAACGGGAGCCACAGGCCTGTGAGATTATAGAATGCTTTTATTTCAGTTCTGTAACACTTAGGTTCGCCTTAGGTTTTACTGAGAGTTTGGTCTTTTAGCATCAGTGGCATCTTGTAACAGTGGCAGGAAGTAGCATCAACCCATCAAGTGTCACCAGTGTTCACGATGTACATTCTCTGATGACCTTACATTTCATCATTGCTTTTCATTTAACTTTACAATTATTTTTAAAGTTCCTTTATACGACAATATATATTCCTTTAGCAGATCAAAACAAGAATTTTCCAATCAGAATATACTCAGAAACAACAAATAAATGTATACCCAAATAACAAAAGTGATTCAGCTATTCAAAATATCCCATTATAGACTAATAAGTAATTGCCACAAGAATAAGTAATTCTTGACTAACAATTAGACATTCATACAAAGAGAAACAATTTCAAGGTTTAGAAAAACTGTGATTCCCCCACCAAAATACGACAGTAGGAAATGCAATTTCAACATGTCAACTCTAGAAAAACATTTCAAAAAATAATTTTGAAAAACTTCGTATAAAATGAATTTGGTACATCATCAGTCTGAAGTCAAAATCTTTTACAAAATAAATTCAGGTATTGTTGATCATGAGATCCAAAAGTATTGGAATGAAATAAAATACTTCCATGAGGTAAAGGCAAATAAGATCTCTCTAGTGCTTTCAGGCACATATTTGTTATCCCTAAAATGGTAATTATTGTCCTAAAGGTGCAAATTTATCACTCAGTGACCTATATGCTATTTGACCATTCATCTCCTTCAAATAAAATAACCATACAGGTTATAACATACACATTAAAATCAAATACGACAGTACATATATATTGACTGAGATATATTAGTTTAAATATCCATTATCTTCATAAAGCAGAAATCTAAGAATGCTATTTGGTCGTCTCAGTTAGATGCTGATGCATTTGGTCAAGAATATCCACATTCGTGTCTGTCTCAGGCAAACACTAGAGTAGGCCACCTTTGGCAGGAATAGGACAGGCCGGGCTGACATTACTGACACTGCTGGAACGCTCTCGTTCTGAGCTTGCACTGGAAGCAGGTGTGCTTCTTGCTTTGATGGGGTGATGAACCTTGAGGATTACACAGGAAGCCAAAGGTAGCAGTCTGTAATGTGGAACAGCAGACGCTGTGGCTGTGACCGCTCTTTGTTAGTCTGCAGCGACGCGGAGCATCCTGGGAGCATGCCCAGTGTGCAGCAGGACAGTGTGCAGCAGCAGGACAGCGTGCAGCAGCAGGACAGTGTGCAGCAGCAGGACAGTGTGCAGCAGCAGGACAGCGTGCAGCAGGCGGCTCCCTGTGTGGAGTCCCGGGTGCCCGGCCGAGTCCTGCCTGCCTTAGGACATAGTGCAATCCTCTTTGCCCTTGCTCTGCCCACTCCCTCCTCCTGCATGGCCACCAGTTTCTGAGCCCAAGTCCCCTGGCTCTCCCTCTTCTAGGCCAACACTGCCTGTGGCTTCCAGGGCCGTCAGGTGCCTCTCGGGACTTCCTGTCCGACAGGGATCCTCCATGGCCACCGAGAGGCTTTCATTTTGCAGCGAGGAGCTGCTGGTCCCATCTGGGCTCTCTGGCTCTGCAGCGACACCGACACCGGTTGTTTCAGTGCCACCGTCTGTGTCACCTTCCCCTAATTCTCTCTCGATGGCCTCAGTGCCTGGTGGCTGGAAGGTCCTCCCTGCCAAGTCCACGGTGTCCCCAGCAGCTCCCTCCGTCCCGCCCTCTGTTTTCGCACAATCATCCTCGTTTCCATCCTCCCCGGACTCAGCGCAGTCGCCCTGCTCTCCACTTCCTGCTGCGATTCTCTGTGTCCCACCTTCGGCCACCTCCTCCTGCGCTTCTGCTGCCAAGTGTCCTTGCCCACCCTCAACTTCGCCTCTGTCTGCGTCCTTGTAAGCCAGCTCTTTCCCAACATCTTCAAGGCTTTCTGCGGGCACAGGAGATTTTTTCTTCTTGGTTTTCTTTTTCTTATTCTTTGGCTTCTTCTGGGAAGACTCTGACGCCTCTGCCTGGCGGTCGCGCTTTCTTTCGTTGGGCTCAGGGCCGGTGTGCTCCCTCCCTGGACCCGGCGCTTCCTCTTGGCTGCTGTCCGCTGTGGGAGCCCCAGGAACTGGCTGGGGTTCAGCCCGAGCTGGTTTGTCGGCCCCCGTTCCCGCATCTCCCTCCTCCTCCACGCTGCCCTCCCTGGCTCCCTCTGCACTGTGCGGGGCAGCCCCCCCAGGCTCAGCTGCTTCCTGGTTGGCTGGCTCCTTCTCTGTGCGGCCCCCGCCTGGCCCCCCAGGATCTGCACCGCTCACCCGCTCAGCTTCTGGCCCATGCCCAAGAGCAGGCCCCTGACAGGGTTTCCGGTGAAGCTCTGCCATGTCCGTTTTCAAATCTTGGTTTTCTTGGTCCTGACTCCCCACAGAGTTTTCACTTTGGCCTATGACATCCGAAGCATTACAGGTGTCCTGTTCGTGCATGGGACCCGGGGCTTCACTACCTAAATCCTCCGGATACTTGGGGTGCCCCCGGGACGCTCCCGAACCCTCGGCTGGCATGTCTGGGACTTCCTGTGACCCAACTTGCTCTGGAGTTTCATGGCTCTCTGGACTCTGGCTTTGAATTTGCTCCTCACATTCAGCATATGCTAAGTCTTCGCAGGGTTTCTGGCCCTCAGTGTTCTCACCAGGACGCGACCCCTCTACGTCCTCATCATCCTTTACTGTGTCCTCTTTGTGCTGTTCTCGCTCAGTATTCTGCGAGATTTCTCTTGTCCCCACATTCTGCACAATTTCATTGTTCACCTCCACTTCTTTGGTTCTTCCTAGAAGACCATTGAGAGAATTGAAGGGACCCCAGGATGCATTAACCCCTTAATATACATTAAAATGTAAAGACAAATTCAGACTCCCACCCGCCCTGTTCTGACAGAGAGAGAGAGAGAGAGAAAGAGAGAGAGAGAGCACTTGAGTCACCAGAGTCACACGACACAGAAGCCTTGCCATGTCTGTGTGGCAAAGTAGCAACTGCGTTAGTGTGGTTCTGCCACCATCTCCAAGGCAGGCGTGGCTGCCGTGCCGTGTGTGTGAACTGATCTGTACAGGAGAAGTTAAGATTGAACAAACGCAAAGAGCTTGGACTGGGCAGCCAAACAATCCAAAGGAATGCGCTTCTGAGGAGACTTCCAGGCCACTTTCCCCATTCTCCTTTCTAATGCTATCTCGATAACTCACCACTCTCTGGATGCTACCCAGCCCTAACTGCGGCTTGCAAGTTATTTTTTTAAAAAAACACTCAGTTCACTTTCAGAAACTCAGCCTCGAGGTCAGTCTTAAGAAAGATGCTTTGGGACTAGCTCACAGAAGGCAAAAGATCTACGTTCCGCCACAGAGCACCGTCGTGCTGGCAGGGTGTCCTGTGTCTGCCCTGAACTTGGCTGCTGTCCCCAGGGGTGAGGAGGTCCCAGCAGGAAGCAGTGCTGCAGACCCAGGCGACCATGTAATCCGACAGATTATCCACCAGGGGAAAAGCGCATCACTACTTTGGAATGAGCAGTTATATCAGATTCTCCAAAGGATCAAAAAACCCATGTGGCTAGAGTCAGAGCCTGGCGGACCATAATCCAGAGGTCCCTGGCTGAGGTGTGATGGGAAAATGGGGCGATGCCTCGTTTACTTCACCCTGTAGACGTCTCTACATTGCATGTCCGGTGAAGCACATTTTGTATTAATGAAATAGTGTACATAAATTAAAAATAAGCACATATATGGGATGCTTACTGACGGAGGCTGTGGTCAGAAACATTTGGAAACCACTCACAGAACTGGGGCTTATGGTCCTTTAAGCATTTCAAAGGGGTTATGAGAGACCTGCAAAATGTATATTTTGACAAGCGCTACACGATCCAATCCCTAGCTCCTCAGGGATCACTCATAAAGGCATCTCATTAATTCATCTCATTTCCCCAACACCTTTTACACATTTATAAAAGCTGTGTTTCCTTGACAGACATAAAGATAAGGAGGCCCCTCCCTGAGAAGCAAGTCTTGAGAAGTGAAACCGAGGCCTACTGCTTTCTACATCTGCACAAATGAAAAGAAGTCAGATGAAAACTTCTAACTCAAAGTTAAGGCCACCTTGTTCCAGCCCCGGTGAAAAAGCTGGAACGTAGCTGGTCACTGGGACAAACAGGGGCTTCTCTGGTGGCTACAGCTTTGGGGTGTGTCAATCCAAACCAGCTGTAACAAATACTCATCAGTGAATCTCTCATTCCCGTGATCTGCCGGACGCCCCAACTTTACATTCTCGCAGAAGCAAAATCAAAGCACACACAGAAGGACCCCCTCTGACAGGGGCAGGGGTACCCTGCTCTTGCTGGGAGGCGCCTCCACAGCACTGACCTCGTCTGCTACCTCGACGGCTGCCTGTCACCCTAGGGCAGTCTGCAAACAGCAGCCCCAACACGGTCCGTCTGCCACCAGCACCAGCACCTGAGAGCTTGGCCGACACATCCACTCTATCCCAGGGAAGTTACAAAGCCACTCTTGGACACATCTGAGCAAAACCAAATGGTTCTCTCCACACTGTCACTTAGTTTTCACCACTTCATTTGGTAGCTCGCTCCGAGAAGCAAAGAAACATGTACTTGAGCCTCTGGCATGAGCACTAAACAGATGCGTGCCAGGCAACGTGTGGCGATCACAGCACTGGACAGGAGCTCACGACCGCGTGATGGAGCAGGCCATGCTGGGCAATGGTTAATGATCAGTGACGAGGACTAAGGCTCTGACAATGCACAGAAGGTGGGTCGGTGCTGACCCGAAAGACCACAGGACCAAAAGGAAAGCAAACACTTACCTAGTGTCCCATCCCCGGATGGCTGGAGGGCATTCACCTCTTCTTTTGTCAACTTGGTAGGGCCTGGGTGCCCCACATTATTTAGTGTGCCTGAAGTTTCTCCGTTGGTGGCTACTTCTGAGTTTAGGGTTATCCCGTGTTTCTGGGGGAAAAACAGGCTCATTGTAATACTCAATGACATCTGTTAAACAGTTTTATTAATTACTAGGAAAAGCGAAGCTATTTTTCCTGAAGTAGTGGATAACTCCACAGAGACAGTGAAGTCTGGGCCCCGCAGCTACAGATATCTATCAGCACCCTCTATCTGTGGGGGCTTCCTCCAGGCTACCTCCGCCCACGTTCCTGCCCGTGACCTGATCTTCGGCGACAAGACTTCCCACTAGGCAGGGCCTGTGGGCTGTCACAAAGTGCATCATCAGCCAATCACTGTGGCTAAAGCCCCGGCCGTGTGCTTTGAAGAGGGAGATAGAGACAAAGAAATCTCGATGGGTTCTGAGGGAATGAACGAAGCGTAGGTTAAAGGAGTTGAGTGCGGCAGGATGTGCGGTGTGGTCAGAAGGGAAACACTGTGCTCACGTGTACAAGTGCCTGCTGCGAAGCAGCTCTGGGACCACCCTACTGTCCACTCTGCAGCCCACGGCTCTGTCCTGACGCCCCCAGCCTCCTCGTGGGCATGCACAGCCTGGGCCAGGGGTGTGTGTGTCTTAGATCTAGGCCTGTGCCTGCCGCTCAGCTGCTCTGCTCTGGCGTGGCACTCAGGGCAGACATGGGTGAGCTCCGCAGCACTTGGGGCTCTGCCAGGGCCGTGTGCCTCTGAGCCAGCTCGGAGCGCCTGAGGGGCTTTTACTGTGTACAGACCCGCAGAGCTGGAGAAGCGCTGGACGTGAGGGGCACACAGGAACAAATATGCTAACCCTGCGTCCATGCGGGGAGCTTCCTGCTGAGGGTGGGGAGAATCCCAGGCGTTCTGTAGGCTGCCTCCCAGATGAGCTGTGCCTGTGCACAGCCCAGGGCAGAGGCACAACCCTGGGCGGCATGTGTGTGCCACGCCTGTGCCAGGTGACCTAAACGGGAGCCGCACTGACTCCAGGCATGTGACACCACAGCCACGACACAGCATGGAGCCCCGGAGACTGTTCTAAGTGGAGCTTTGGCTTCGTACCTTGAATTCCTCTTTCAGCTTCACTATTTCTTCTCTAAGGTCATCGCGCTCGCTCCTTATGGAGTCAAAGAACTCTTTCTGCCTCTCTAAAGCCTGCACGTGCAGTGAGCAAAGAGAAAGGAGAGTCACAGAGAGGAGAGTTACTCAGCACGGGGACCAGAGCTGTGTCCAAGACGCCAACAGACTCTTGGGACACAAACGGAGCACGAGTCAGCAGCAGCTTGTTTGGGTGCCGCAACTTGCCCCGGGAGGCAGCAGTCTTTCCAAACTCACAAGCCACTGGTTCTGAGAGACCCAGGAGGTAAATTCACCACCTCGAAGTCCAGCTCGGTTTGTGGGGTGGCGAGTTAACAGGAGTGACACGCCCACTTAAATGATGGGCAAAATAAAGGACAGAAAAAGTGGGGTGTGGTGGCGCGCACCTGTGGTTCCAGCTCTCAAGAGGCTGAGGCAGGAAGGAACCTGCCATGAGTTCAAGGCCAGCCTGGAATACACAGCGGGACCCTGTCCCCAAAACAAAACCCAAAAGAACAAAAAGGAACACTAACGAGATCCCCCAAAGGACAACAATTTTAGACTGCTTTTATACACTAATTTTGGGCATTTGTTGTCACACACAAACCTAAGTGGCTACAGAGCGCAGGCAGGTGTGTGCACAATCCCAGCCCAGTGCCGTGATGGTGTCAGGCACCTCTAGACCTTGGGCAGGGCAGGGCTGGGCCGCACGGCTGGGTCACACATCTCCCACACATCTCCTTTCCTCCCGTCCGTCACTCCTCAATGTGGGGGTCGCTTCACCTCCGCTGTGGCGGGGATTTCGAGGTGGGAACGTGGAGGCACAGCCCCTGCCACCTGGAGCCTTCCTCAACCCCTCTGAGAAAAATATGGGGCAGGGAATTCGGAGAAGCCCGGCCACGCTGTGCGGGCACAGAGGCCCTCGAAGAGCTGCAGGGGTGCAGGTGCCAAGCCCCACGATGCCCCACGTGGGGGCTGGTGCGCTCACTAGCGTGTGAGCCCGAGTCCTGGGCCGCATGCCCACCCACACAAGCGCTGTTGCAAAGACCAGAAGAATTGCATTCGCTAAGCAGCTTGCCCAAGTGAAGAGTTTCAGAGACTTGAGACGCCTACCCCTATCTTCTTGTCTTTCCACTCTATTGTTTCCTGAAGATCAGAAATCTCCCCGATATAACTCGCCTGTTTCTGCTGTAGCTGTCGGATTTCCTGAGGAAAGGAACAGATAGAAAGAAAGCAGATAAAGGGTTAAGCAGGAAGAAAACCACCAGCACCGGGCGACCTGGACGCTCGCTAGGAGAGTGGGCCGGAAGGACCACGTCCCCTCACTGGCCCCGGATCCACCGCATGCTGGGGTTGTTTCCGCGCCCCACTCTGAGCTTCGGGAAGAACAGGGGAAAGGCTACTCGGTGACATTCTCGCCTAAAAGTCCCTGATGTCCTGAGCAAGCTGGGAAACCCGAAGGTCGTGTGAAGCTTCACAAAGGGGCACAGCCTGAGCACGGCCCTCGAGGCCCTGCCACTGTGCAAAGGCCAACCCCGAGTCCTGGGGGCGGTGACACCTCCAGGGACCACCGTCACATGTGCAGTCGTCGCCGACTGAGACACTTGTCACAGGCTGCCTCCGTTTCCCGCTGACACTAACAAACTGCCACAAATTCCGTGGCTTGCACCAACACAGATTTATTCTCTTACACTTCTGGAGACGGGAAGTTCAAAGCACGTCTCAGAGGCCACGACTGTGGTGGGAGCAGGCCTGGTCCTTCCCGGGACACCAGGGAGGACTCAGCTTCCTCACCTTGCCCACCTTCCGTAACCTTGCCTGCACTCCCTGGCTGCAGCCCTTCTCCATGTCACTCGGGGCCCTGCTTCCGCTGTCATAGCTCCTACTTCTGCCCGTGACCTGTCTTCCCCTTGTCAGGACCCCGTGATGACCTCAAGCCCCCCGGCTGGTCCAGGGGACTGTCGGTCTCTGCAGGCCTTGAATTCAGTCCCATCTGCCAGACCCCTGCACACGCAAGGTGACACACCGGCCGGCCGTCTGCGGAGGCGGCACAGGCGCAGCCGCCGCAGAGGAGTCTTCGAGAGAGAGACGCGAGCTGCTGCTCTGAGGAAGGCCGGGGCCAGTGTGCAACTCAGGTCTAAGAGCACTGATTACTACGGCAGGAGCTGCTGCTGACTGAACAGTGCCCTGGTTCCCGGGCTGAAGCCCCGACCTCCACAGGCACAGGGTGTGGAGAGCCAGCCCTCAGGCCTTCACGGAGGTGGCCCTGTTCTGGCACAACTCCTGTCCTTATGAGGAGCTCAACGTCCTCTCCGCCCCGCCAGAACACAGCTCAGGCAACCGCCGCAGGCCAGGCGGGGCCTCCCTGGACCCGGACCCTGCCCCTGATGTGGGGCTTCCGGTCTCCAGAGCGGGAAGGAAACGAGCTCTGTGTTGAGCCCCAGGCTGGAGCTCTTTCACGGCAGCCTGAGCTAAGCCAGCGTGAGCCTAGGAAACGCGAACAGCCCCGGGGGGCGGGGCTCCCACCTCCAGCATCTCGTCTCTCTGCCGCAGAGCCTCCTTCACCTCGGCGAACTGGAACTGCAGCGCCCTGTGCGCGTGCTTCTCCCGCTCGAAGTCCTGGGGGAGGAACAGCCGTGCAGTGTCATTTTAGCTCCCATTCTCATGAGTCCCGTCCCTGGGGGGGGGGGGGACCTCTGCCACGGCCTCACCTCCTCCAAGGTCACTGCGCACAGAGGTTTCCTGAGCGGCAGAGGGAGCCCTGACCAGCGAGAGCTGCCGGGGGCGTGGATGCCATCGCCAAGCCCCCGATCTCTGGGGAAGCAGGCAAGGCCCAGCCTCCTCTCCAGGGGCCCTGGGGTCCAGGCTGTGCTGAGGGCTGGACAGGATGACACTGCCGCCCTCGATTTCAGACAGGACCAGGAACTCTTGTCCGGTAACAGGAGGCCGGCGGCGTGGGCCTGGGTGTCGCCTTCCTCCAGGGCCACGGCAGGAAAGGCCGGGCCTCTGGGGGCCACAGAGCGGTCAGACCTGTGTCCCGGCCCCAGCTTCTCACTGTGCGGCTCGCTCCAGGGGTCACAGCGGCTCATCCCTAATACTGGCCTGGTCCCCAGTTAACCTTGCTGAAGCTTGGGGAAAGCGGAGCACGCGTGCGTCCCTAGATCTGTCCCGGGGGCGCTGGAGAAGCTCCCCGTGGTCTCTGCTCCCCCACTGCCTGGCCTGGGTGGCGGCGACGGGCACCTTCCCGTGGGGCTGCTGGCCCTGCCCTGCCTGGGAACCTCTCCAGGCCCACTAAGAGGCCGGAGGCCGTGTCCTGGGGTGGCTCCCACACACTAGGGTGTCGGCCACCAAGTGTGGTCAGACGCGCGCCGCCCTCTCGGAGCTTGGCTGTCGGCCTCTAGCCCAGCTTTGCCTCATCCAGACAGGGAGGCCTGAATCCTCAATTGGACTCTGGTTTTAATCCCTGGGATTCCGAAGACACAGCCAGTCCAAGAAGAAAGACTCAGGCATTAACGGCCATCTAGCTCACAGTCTCTAACGAATTGGACAATGTCAGGGTCTATATACATCAACCACGTCTAAAAACGTGGAGAAACAAGCACTCCTTGCTCTGCATCTCACAGAGAACCCGAGTGGGGGCTTCCCGGCCCTGTCCACTGTCCCGAGCCCCTCTCTGTGCAGACTCAGGCTGAGCACATAAGCGAGCAGTGAGCAGCCCCAGTGGCCCTACAGGAAAGCTCACACGGGACGCCCCTTTTGTGAGCCTGAAGGTATTGGGTTCTGTTGCTGTAGTTTTTGTTTTTTTGAGACCAGGTCTCCCCAGGTAGCCCAGCCTGGCCTTGAATTTGAGGGGCTCCTCCTCTCTGTACCTCCTCAGCGCTGGGGTCATAGAATGTGCACTATGACCAGCCCTGAAGGTATCTAACTCTTAAATGGAGTAACTGTGTCCTTTACCGATCAGCAGAAAATACATGAATATAATCCTCTTGAAATCTTTGATACTCTGCTGGGTGTGGCGGCGCACACCTGTTATCCCACCACTCTGGAGGCTGAGGCAGGAGGATCCCTGTCTCAAAAAAAAACCCCAATAATAATCTTTGATACTCTTTTTTCTCCGTGGTGGTGAAAAAATTAAAACATGCAATGTGTGTTCACGGGAAACATCTGAATCATCTAAGCGGCTTGTCCCAGCATGTAGGCTCTTTCATGGCCACGATGTCCTCTCGTTTACATGTCGAAATCTGCCCATCACCACGTGAAGCCACTTGGCAGAGACGTGGCGTCCTCTCTAGAGCCTGGGCCTCCTCACACACGCGCCTGCCACCGCCACTCCTGGTCACCCACGGCAGTGCCTACCTTGGTCTTCTCTTCATACTGCCGCCGGGCCTCGGCCAGCTCCTCCTCCAGCTCCAGCAGCATGTCTTTGAGGGTGTCCACCTGGTACAGGAAGTTGGTCTTCTCGTTGTCTAGCTGCGCGTTGGAAACCATCGCCTTCTTGTACTTCTCCTCTACTTCTGTGAGTGAGTCCTGCAGAAAGGGGTCACAGTTTGGAACACCCAAGTAGAGACGCATTCGGTACTCTTTAGAAAAACTCAGCCTTTGTGAGTGTGCCCTTTATTTCTGGGCACGAATAGTCACAACGGGAAGCACGTGCACTTTCAAATGTACAGCAGAAACCCTCTCGAGGGGACCGAATTCTCTACTCTGTCTCGAACTGAGAGCAACATGTCTTCTCGCTGGGACGCGGGTGCACGGTGTCACGGGGCTGGTCAGGGACTCATGACTCGTGACTCAGCAGCTGGGCCGCCCCTGTAGGCTCAGGGCTGCTCAGCAGGCAACTTACACAATCACCGAGTCTGGGGAAGAGCGGGTGACAGAGGCGGATGGCGACAGGTGACCGCCTCCCTGCCTGGCTCATGAACCAGGAAACAGCTAGTGGTAATGTCAAACTTTTGGCCCATTGGAACGTTAAACAAGGTACACATGTCTCACTGGGTAGGTCCTGGAAAGACAAAGGTCAGTCCTCGGAGAGGACCACAGGGAACGAGGCCAGCAAGACAAACACGGTGTCCCCACGTGGCACACACCTTCACGGGTCCTAGAACAGCAGGCGGTGGAGCCAGAACAGAGAGGGCAGAGGCACCAGGTGCAGACTACCCAGCACTAAGGGAACACGTGAGCGGCATGGCTGGGAGCCTCACAGGCTATGAAGAGGCTGCATGGAGACCTGTGTGCTCCCACCCTGGCCTTCCAAACTAGGGGAACAATTTTATTTGGGTCTAGTGGTTCCTGGTGTGTTTGGTGGCTCCCTTTTTGACATGAGTTGAAAGCCAGAGTTTTAGTCTTCCCCTTTTTATTTTTATTCATTTATTTATTTGGTGCCAGGATCGAACTCAGGACCTTGTGCTTGCGAGGCAGGTGGTGGCACCACTGAGCTACATCCCAGGCCCAATCTTTCCCTTTTTAAACAGAAGTGACAATTTTGAGAATGATGGTTAGGCATGTGGCTTATGTCCCCTCTTGGTCAGTGTCCTCTGATATTGAGTCGAGACTACTTCCTGTCTACTTTCTGGGGAGTTGAAAAGGAAGTAACAGATCTGCCATAGGCTGCCTGGTGGATACAGCTGCCGTATTTCTATGGCAACTACTCATCTTACCATCAAGATACAGGGTGAATTTGTTCCCCGTTAGCACAACGAAGTAACCCAGGAGCATGCACACTCTCAGATCCGGACGGCACATTCAGAGATGCAGCCTCAGTTAGTCAAATCTCGTGGCATGCAAATAATTCAGATGCTTCCAAAAGCACACATGTTAGCAGCACCCTCATAGTGGACAGCACATGTTCTGAGAAGCAAATCAGGCAAAGCATGTTTGTATGCAAGGACTAGGGAAGGTGAAGGGAACCAAAATCCTTCTGTAAGCGTCTGGTGCATTGGACATTGGTTTTTAGTGAGCTTGACACACATCAGGGAACTTATTAGTGCCCTGCTGCGGAGCCATAGCTTCAGTGTCTTGGCTGCATTTGGGAGAAGACAGGGCCGCACCATGCTGGCCTTCCTGCCACCCCATGGGGCCTCTGAAGGGTGGGCACACTGTGAATCCCTTCCACAGGATTCTCCTACCCTAAGGTGGGTTAGCATAGTGAGTCCAGGCTTCACACACCGGTACCTTCATCTCTTTCAATCCCTGCATGTATTTGCCTTCTACGTCCTGAATCTGGTCCTTTAACTCATTGAGTTCCTGGGGAAGTGGCAAATGGTAGATGATGTTAGGGAAGAGCATCGGAGGCGATCACACACAGCTGTATCTTCCCCACGCCTGGGTCATTTCTATCATCCGGGCAGCCCGAGTACTCATTTTCTTTTTAAGTGTTAAAGGAAAATAAATTGCAATATTGCAAAGGCTAAAATGTAAGTGCACCACCCATAATTTTAGACAACTTCACACAATTTAGGGGTAATGTACAGAGGTTCCTAGGCACTTATCGTTAACCAGTTCTAGAAGGTGAGGCAAGTAGCCAAACCACAGGCACCAAACTAATGATTTTGTCTGAAAGAGTCTACAGCCAGCAGGCAGCCGGCACCGATGAGTTTCACTCGAGCATGAGGACCAAAAGGACAAGAAGCGGGACACGATTTTCTCATCAAAACGCATCAAGGACTAAGTTCGACAAGTTTCAAAGCAGTCGAGTACCAAGGTATGACTGTAATTTTACAAAGTTAAAAAAGAAAAAGACCAAAATGCTCCTGAAGACAGGACAGAGCAGGCAGTCAGTCACCCACCGCCCACTCTGGGCGTTCTGGGAAGGCACAGCCAGAGGACGGGGAGATATTGGCAAAACCTGTCCCTGCCTCCAAGCGGCACCAGGCCTGCTCCGCGGATTCACCATCAGCTTCCTGGTGCCCAGGGCAGAGTGGACTCAGGCGGGAGTGGCCACAGTAGGGCAAATGCTCAGTGCTAATGATGTAAGAGACAAAACAGATCGCAGTGGACTTGGCTTTGGGTTCCAGAGGAACAAAGGAAGTACAGCGGGAACTGCAGGCGGCCAGGGGATGGTGTGTGGCTTTTTACAAACAACAGTAGAAAGGAAAACTGTTCTGCTGGCTTCAGTTGCTCATAAAACATACAACGACATGGAAAGCAACTTCCAGGGATCCCAGGAAACCTGAGAGATGCTTAAATCCCTCCCTGGCCTCCTAGCAATGTCACCCATCTGCTCGGATGTCACCAGTGTGGGCTGGCTTCCTCTGTGACTATTCGGAGTAGAAGTTCTTCGATAGCAGCAGACCCGAGTCCTGAGGCTGCTGTCTTGGCTCTGCCCTCCAGAGGGCGTGGCTTTCTGCACGCCTTCCTCCCTCATTCAGATACAATGGGCCTCCTGACGTGAACAGGACTGTCTGCGTTTCTCTCTTGCACACAGTTCGTTACCCTGTGCCAGGTGCCACGGGTGTAACAGAGATGGGCTAATGCCACACTCCAGTGGGAGGGGAAACCACTCAAATATGCCTTCGGGTCACCCAACGCACGTTCCAAGTGGAAAGAAAGCCTTTTAGATGGGGGAGATGGCCCAAGGTCACGTGCAGGTACGTGGTGTAGAGCCCAAAACACTCCAGAAAATGTACACAGACATACGTGTCACACACGCGACCAGTCACATCAGCACATGCTCTCACCAGGACCACACACAGGGGGCGTGGAGGGGACAGACACACATCTGCCTGGTGGACTGGGCAGGCCAGGGCCACTTCCTGTGGGAGATGTGGACTGAGCTGGGAGCTTAGGAGAACCATGTTTCTGGGGAGGCAGGACTGAGCAAAAAGAGCCAGAGCTTGACTAACTGTATCTTTTTTTAAAATCTAGAGACTGACTGTCCAAGAGGCTCTTCTGAGTCCTGAGTGAGCACAGCGCCTTACCTTGATCTCCCTCAGGGACGCCTCGGTGTCGATGGAGATGGAGGTGTCACCGCTCCCCCTCCGGGAGGAGGAGCCGCCCAGGGAGGCCAGCGTGGCTGCGGACAGACCGGGCATGCTGCGGGAGCCCTGGAACAGGAAGCGTCGGTGTGACTGCAGGCAGAGCCCAGCGCCACTGCGCTTTGCTAAATCACTTCCGCACCAGAAGCTGCCACCAGGTGGGGTGCGCATAGGCACAGGGCATGCTGAGGTGCTCGGCATTTGGCTGAACTGACAGCTCTGCGTTGAGCCTCACTGTCTTAGGGGATTCAGGACGGTGACCGCAGGGACCCCTCGGGGAGGGACACCACACTGGGTGGGCCACTCACGCCAAACAACTTTATTAACAACAAGCACCTTATTTCCCGTCACTTTTATCCCGGAGTTCTGGGGCCCTCTAGGTCAGTAACAGCTATGATGGAGGTTTAGAGGAATTCCTTACCTTCTCAGTAAAATCTTTCTCAGGTCTTTCTTCAACCTGTAGAGGAAAAAGGACAAATATTAAATACTTCAAAGCATTAAAGAAATATGAATTGGGGTAAGGTGATTTTAAAAATTAGCTTTATCATTTAAAACCTAAAAAGGAGGTTGTGGGAATCTGGCTTCTCTCGTTTCCTGTGTGGCTGACATCCTGAGGTCCCCCCTCCCAATCCCAGATGGGGCCTCAGTGGGACCCACGCAGAGCAAAATTAAACACGAAGCTCTGAGGGGAAGGCACAGCGAATATATGCTTAGCTGACTTCTCTCTAACATGTTAAATCCCATGTTGCCTGTTTTCCCAGTAAGAGAGGCCCATGTGTTTGCCAGCGTTCCTGAGACACAAGAAGCATCCAGAGCCCAAGTTGTCATGAAGTCGTCACACTCACCACTCCCACTAGATGGCAGTCCAGCCCCGACACAGGGACTTAGTAAACGGGATGATGCTTAATTCTGACATAAAGCACAACACTTTACCTCTAAAATGTAATACACAAAGAATAGAACAGATGAGGGATTTCTGCACCATGTCACAGAAGCTTGCTGACCTGGTGTGTGAGGCTGGACACCGAGCAGGAGGGACCGGAGGGCGGCCTGTGATGTGGGGCGGCTGCTGGGTTCTGTTAGCTTTCTAAGCAGCATCCAGCATTGTAGGACAACGGGAAGGCTTCCAACAGGGTTATGAAGATGTTATGTTAGTCTTTCATAATCAACACGGCGTAGGTGGAAGGCCTCTAGGATCTATGTGAGCCAGGCCTGGTGCTGCACTCGGGAGAGGGGCCCTGTCCTCCTGGTGTCCCCAACTCCCAGCCAGGATGGGGTCATGAAGGCAGCACCCTGCTGTGTCCCCTCAAAACCAAGCGGGAGCTGTGAACCCTGCTCAGCGAACACCGACTGAAGGTCCTTGCCTTTCAGTTTGTCAGAACCATCTGGGTCTCAGCTAGTCCCCTGCTGGGGATCTTCCCCAAAGAATTAAAAGAATCATACCGCAGCGATATATGCTCACCCATGTTTATAGTGGCACAGTTTGTAATAGCGAAAGCTGGGAAACAGCCCAAGTGCCCATTAACTGGAAACTGGATAAAGAACACGTGGTTTTTTAAATAAAATGGAGTACTACTCAGCCATAAAGAATGAGAAACTAGAGACATTTATAGCTAAGTGGATGCATATTGAGGCCATCCTCTTCGGTGAAATAAATAGGACACACATGTGTAAATACCGAATAGCTTCTCTAGTGTGGGAAACTGAAAGTGTAAATAAGGATACACACGGATGAAATTGCCTAATAACATATTTCTTGGATTGTTTCCATCGCGTGTCATATGACCATATTGAAATTTAAATTAGGGAGAAGCTTGGCTTATGTGGAGTCTGCTAGCTAACTGGAGTTTTTTTCCAGATCGCTATCTGTTCAATGTTGGTTTTGGGGATCTTTCTGAAACAAATCACATCCTCTGGTGTCTTGTTGGTGCTTGAGATGCTTTTCTAAGTTATATGGAAAAATGTTTAAATGCTTTTCAGTTTTGTTTTGGTTGAGTTCAACTGTATTTGAATATTATTGTAGTTTTTTTCCCTTGCATTGTTCTTCTTTGAATGGTTTTAATTTTTGTATGTGTGTGTGTTTGATAATAAAGTTATTTAAAGAAAACAAAACAAAACAAAACCATCTGGGTCTGATGACCACTAACATCTCCAAGCAAATGGTGGTTTGACTACAGGGTCTACAGTGGCGTAGGAGTTTTGGTTCTAAACCCAGTGATATTTGTGTCACCCCAAGTGGTGTGGCCTTGTGCTCCTGCATTCAGTTTTCCACCTGGCTGCTGGGTCGCTCCTCGAGACCTGAATGGGAATCACCATCACCTTGTTTCTCTACTTCCGGCAGCAGGAATGGTGTTCAGGACATGGTCCCGGCTCTGCTCCCAGTGGATGCTCAGATATGTGGCTGCTTCACCGGGGTTCTTGGGGCAGTCAGCTGGCTGCGTGCAGCGGCGTCGCTCCTGAGGGTCTGAGCCTGAACGCTCAGCTCCTCCTACCCCAAACTCTCCCACACCCGTGCCCCCTGCCACTGTGCCGCAGAGGTTCATGACACTCCTGTGACATGGTCCCACGTGGGCAGGGACGTCGGCGCTGGCTCACACGTAGCCGCGTGCAGGAACACCCTAGATGCTCCGAAAGCACTGAAGAAGTGAGCCGGGTCAAGGCCCCCTGTGCGCGGAGGAGGACGGCGTGGCTCCTCCCTCTCCACCCTCCCAGGACCAAACCTCGGAGCCCTGGGCCTGGGAGGCTTCAGTCTTGGCCCTGGCAACGGCCTTTGGACACTGAGCTGCTTCTATTTCCTTGAAGTAGGACCAGCAATCAGCTTCGCTCTGGTTGCCTTTGCCCCTAGGTCTGAAGGCTATGAGACGCTTGCCTGGGCCTCTGCAGAGCCTTGAGGGTCACCCCCCAGCTGGTGTCGCTGTCCGTCTCAGGACCTGTCCGGGGCCCATGTGCACCCCGATGAAGTCCTGCCCAGGGATAGCTCCGGGGGCCACTGCAGGCTGTTGCCAGGGCAACTCCAGCCAAGGGGGGACAAACTGGCTGCACCTTCTTGGGGATCTCATTTCTCAGGGTGTCACGACCTCCTGGGTGAGGAATGAGAGCTGCCTCTGGAACTGGGTCTTGTCACTTCCTGCTCCGTGTCCTCCTGGAGGCCAGGTTGGCTGGTCACTGGCCCTGGTCACTGCTGCTCCTCTCTCCCAGGCAGGAGGACCAGGAGCCCGGGCTTCACCACTGACATGGAGGACACCACTGACCCTACGGTCCAGGCCGAAGAACACAGGACAGACAGCATGGTGCAGCGGAAGAGGTCGGCAAGCTTAGAAACGGCGGCAGAGGGCCAGCGTAGCTCTGTCTCCCCAGCCTGGTCAGACACAGTGACACACCCTCTGTCCCCCCCAGGGATGGCTCTGTGGCTCTAAAAACACAGGGGGGGGCCTCCATCGGCTGTGGGGTCCCCACCCATGAGTGACAGTGCAGGGCAGTGGACAGCCTGCCCACACAGGTGACAGCTCCAGAATGGATCGACCTTTGTGTCTGGAGCCACTGACTCGGGAAGAAAGACCTGAGCCGGGCCAGGTATGGCGGCACATGTGAAATCCCAGCACTCAGAGGCTGAGGCAGGAGGACTGCCGGGAGTCTGAGGCCAGCCTGGTGGGACCAAGTCTCAAAAAAGTCAATGACCCTGTAATCCCAGCACTCAGGAGGCTGAGGCAGGAGGATCACCGCGAGTTCGAGGCCAGCCTGGGGAACATGGTGAGTTCAGGGCCAGCCTGAACTACAAAGGGAGACCCTGCCTCAAGAAACCAAAAAAAACCAAACCCACCGTCGTCACCACCACAAAAGCTCCAGGGCGTGGCACATCCTACTCTGGCCTCCGGCTGGTGCTGGGGAGCCTTCCTCAGGAGTGGCTAGGGCTCAAGCTCTCAGACGCTGGGTGTCCCCACCCGCACTGGGGAGCCTCCATCTGCACCAGGACGGAGCCCTCAGGTTCTAACGCTGGCCCCGTGGAGGACGAGGGGGAGATAGCAGCTGAGGGCGGGACACTCGACTGCCAGCTACCGACGAATAGTGCGCAGCCTCAGTGCCAAGGGTACGGGGAGTCAGGGACCCGGGCGCTAGACTTGCGGGCTCAGCCGCCAGGGATCCATGGGTTCCTCCCCTGGGAGCAGCTGCCGCCTGTGTTTGGTGTGAGCCTCTCTGCTGTAAAAGTCTGCACGAGTTCGGCTGGCAACGCTGTGCTCCATGCCCTGTGACAGACCCGGCCCAAGGCTGCCCCCGGGGACCAGGAACTGGCCAGGCTCAGCGCACAGTGCCCGGTGGGACGGTGCCGGGTAACGGAGTCAGGACACACGTTTAGGCTTCTCTGTGGCTGGGAGTTGTTTTCCTTTCTCCTGGTACTGGGGCTTGAGCCCAGGGCCTTTGCACTGAGCTATACCCCAGCCCTTCCAAAGGGCTGGATTTTGCAGAAGGGTCTAAGTCATCCAGGTAGGGCTCCTCCTGCTTCAGCCTCCTGACTGCTGGGACTGCAGATGTGCACCACACGCCCAGCGGCTGGCAGTTTCTCTGCACATGGAGAGCAGTGTAGCCTGGCCTTCCGTGCACTGTGTACCTACTTTTAACCAAACCTCCCGCTGCAGCCGGACCTCTGTGTCCACCCCTGCTGAAACTGTCCTGCAAAACCCGGGTTCCGACAGTGCTAAAGTAGTTTCCAAGAAAGTTTTGGCTCAGGTGGAGCTGTGAAGACCCTGGGGAAAATGCACCCCTCGGACACTGTTGGAGTAGGGCCGGCTGAGCCAGGCAGGAGCGGGGAGTGGCCCAGCGAGGAGGTCTGAGACGGGTCGATGGAGCCGGAGGAGGGGCAATGAGGTGCTCTCGGCCACAGCGCATTTCACAAAAACTATCAGGTCTGACAACTGCTAACATTTCCAAGCAAATGGTAGTCAGTCCTGCTGAGCTGTAAATCTTGGGGAACCACATCTGTCCCCTCTCCTCCACTGTAGAAGTTTCCCCCTCAAAGCCCTGTGTCAATGTGTGCCGACCCTTCATCCCACTGTCACCAAACTGGCCTTGAATCTATGTTGATCCTCCTGCCTCTGCCTCCCACGTGCTGAGACCACAGGTGTGCACCATCACACCCCGCTTAGTCCTGAAATACAACCTGCAGAGGCCTTTCTGACTGCACCCTGTGTTGGCCTTCGAAGCAGGGGTCACTTTAAAGGGCAGAGAGGCACAGGATGAAAGGGAGAGGAGGAGGAGGAAGGGCCAGGCCCAGGGCCTGAGGCAGACTTACCACCGGGCTGGCTCGTGCCGAGCTGGCCCTGGAGGAGGCGCAGGAGCCGGAGCTGAGGAGGCCGCTGTACTCCGAGGGCTGCCGGGCGCCGCAGGAGGTGCAGACAGAAACAGGCACAGGGTCAGCGAAGCAGCAGCAGGAGGAGCCACCGAGGGTGTGTTGGGGAGTGGCGGGGTGAGCAGAGAAGAAACTGGGGTGAGGGGAAGCCCGAGCCAGCCTGAGCCCGGTAAGTGTCCCTGCCCCACAGCAGGAAGAATCCACCCCAGTATCCGAGGGACAGAGTTAGTAAGGAGAAAACAAAGCACCGTCCTGTCCAGAGTGGGCTTGCAGTCACGTCTCCCCTACACCTCAGCCACCCTGTGCACCAGGACCCTTGCTTTGTTTTTGAGACAGGGTCTCGCTCTGTAGCCCAGGCTGGCCTTGAACTCATGGCAATCCTCCTGCCTCAGCCTCTCACATGCTGGGATGACAGGCGTGTGCCACCACGCTTGGCTTGCTAAAACCTTCTGACAACTGAAGCTGCTCAGAAACTGAACGTGAGGTCAGAGGGCAGGGCAGCATTTACACGGGGGAAGACTCTGCTTCTTTCTGCCTACCGAGCGGAAAGAAGCAAGATTCAGGGCTAACTCAACACCTTGTGAGGCTCTTGGGGAGCGCTCGAAGGCCTTCCATCTGGGGCCTGCCCACCTGCGCCACCTGCTTCTAATGACGGGCTCGGCCAAGGCCCACACAGTGCGGGGAGCACCAGGTCGCCTGGGTTCTGGTCACCCTCCTCCCAGCCGGTGACAGACAAAGCCTTGCTTTCTCTTGAGCAAGGCAGGCTGGGCAGAGGTGGACAGGGCACCATTCAGGGTCTGGAGCTTGAGCAGATCCGGACAGGTCTGAGGCACCCTGGGAGAGACCTGTGCGTCAGGCGTGGCCGGAACCCTGCCTCGGGGTGCCGCCCTCACCGCACTGCACCCTGGTTCTCCATCTTTTCTGCCTGAGGCCAGCAGGCACCTCCTGCTGCAAATGACAGGGAGCTCTGGCCTCGGGGTTGTGAGGCTCAGCTCCAGTCCCGTCCCTCTGTTCGGCCCCACTGGGATGCAGCCCCACCCCGCGGGCAGTCTGTGTCCGTTGTGATCCTGATCAATCTCCAGTGGGCAGATGAGGCTAGGCACACTTGAAAAAAATCCTTCTTTGTTTTTTAGACAGTCCGGGCTGCCCTTGAACTCACTATGAAGCCTGGGCTGGCCTCCAGCTTGATGCAATCCTCCTGCCTCAGCCTCACCAAGCACTCAGTTTAAAGATGTGCATCACCATGCCTGCTCTGCTGGACTTTAGACCACAAGAAAACCACCTCGTAGGTGGGCAGTTTCTTTCTCTAACAGAGTTAGTGTGCTTCCTCTTTTCTGATACAAGAAAGTCATTTAGTTCCACTCTAGGCAGGACAATGTCACCCTTTTGGCCTGGCCCACGAGCTTCCTAGTGACTTACAAAAACATTTAAGAACTGGGAAAGATATTTACCACTGTGGGTTCCACCACATTAAACTATTTATACAGTACAGAACTCAATCAGTATTTGGCTATCAACAAACACGAATGCCATGTCATTTAAATATTAGACTAAATACTGCTAAAACCTTCGTGTGAAGAAAACGGTCAGTCAGACTGGTTTTCTTTGCGAGAATTTAGGAATCTCTGTGATGGTTGGGAAGCAGCACAATAAATCAGGAAACTGGATCAGCTACTTAAATGGCGGATTCATCTCTGCTCTGTCCCCCTTTCTCTCTCTCCTGCTGGGGTTCAGAGCCAGGCCCTTGCGTGTGCCCGGCAAGCTCACTTCCGCAGAGCCACCCTAGCCCAGCAGCTGGTGACTTTGAGAGCAAAACTGCAGAAGCATGTGGAGTGTGTCTCAGTAAGTCATCCTGTCCCACGGAGGGCTCAGGCACTTTGTGGGGTTGGTGCCAGAGCCTTAAAGGTGGGACTCCCCTCTGTTAGAGCTCAAATCCCACCTGCAGGGGCTGCATCCTCCCATCTCCCCGATAATCAACTCTCCCATTCCCTCACTGGCATTCACTGCACAGCCAGGGCCCTGCACTGGGACAGCCCAGTCTGTCATTTTAAATGTGAAGGGGGAGGAATGGCCCCCAAGAGTATGAGGAAGTGACATGTGTGCCACACGCTGCATCTTTACGCCTGTTCACCTTTCACTATTCAGAGGCAAAAATAACTAGCAGCTGTCAGACTGCCCTCTTATTAGTCTGAGGTCACTCCTGTCAGTGCTGTCCGAGCTCAGGGGAGAGCGGGGACACTCGGTCAGGCTGGTTTCCTCTGACCCCATGCAGCGGGTGGGTGGCACCGGACGGGAAGGTCAGTGGGAAACACGGACGAGTCTTACAGCCAGGGAACCGCAGGTGCTGCCCCGCTGAGCCCGGCCAACGCTGCTGTCTTGGAACACAGATGCCTGGGACTGAAACAGAGGGTCACTGCACCACCTTCTTCCCGCTGGGGCCCAGAAGCATGCAAGGTGACTGGGAGGTGACACATCCGGAGGACACCGTGCAGGGTGGCCCCTGGCACCTCCCCCACTCTCCCCGGAGACCCAGACTCGAGCACAGGTTGGTTGGCGTGTGGCTTCACCTCCAACCCATCACTACATCTATGTTTGGAACAGCACTCCATGCTCAGGAGAAACGTGTCAATCCAGATCTCAAACCAGCAGAGCAGCCAACATCCTGAAGTTGAGCAAAGCATCCTCCTACTTTTAGTTTTAAAACACGACTTTAAAATAAAATATTAAATTGTGTTACACTTTTCATGTTGATGTGTACAACTCTAAAAGTAGCTAAGTAGAAGGCAGAACGTGTGGTTACCTTGAAAATCCTACGTACTTAATCACAGAAATAGGAGCTTACAGTTTCGCAAAGGCGATGTCAAACTCTGCCCAGTTTAATGAGCCTGAAGTGCCTGCTTCCCCGAGGACATACCAAAGCCCTTTACCCCTCTCCTCTGCAGGTGTGCGATCTGGTGGAAATGCAGCGTGTCTGAGTGATATAGTTACTCTGATTGCTTAGTCGAATTCCTGCATGCCTTAGTCATTCCTGCAATGCCTAAGTGCCTGCATTTAAAGCTGGAAATTTCCAGAGTAACACAGTAACGTGGGCTGGAATCCACCCAAGGTGTCAAGGCACCAGAGAGCCATCTTTCCACCAGCAGGGAAAGCACGCGCTGCCCTTGTTCCATCCAGACTAAGGATCCTAAGCAAACAGGAGTCTCACTGGACACAGAGCTGTGTGACAGCCCCATCAGCAGTCGGGAGAGAAACCCAGACCTGGCCAAAGAGGACTGACAGCACCCCAGGCAATGTAAGCTCCACAGAGAGGTGCACCTCACAGCAGGATGGGAAGCGGGTGGGACAGAGGGGCACACGAGAGCTGGGGTGGAGCCACGCACCCGGGAACTCCCTGCAGGCTGGGCCATGCTGCACAGATAGGGGGGCTGCGGGGCAGAAGCAAACAATGGTGTATAGAGCCTTGGCCAAACAGCAGCAGGCTGTCCTAGGAGCAGTGAGAAGGGAAGGCCAACTCTGCACCGAGTTTTCAGGGAGAGGATGGATGCAAATCCAACATTTACAGGAAAGGGGAATAGGAGGTGATTTTTAAATTTTAAAACCCATAAACCTTGAACTAGTACTGCTTTCTAGTCAACTCCTTTCAGGCAGTCCTGGGAGAAAGGGTGGGGGGATCAGAATGGCAGCAAGGTCAACAACAGCCAGGACATGCAGCCCACGACTCAAAACCCGAGGTGGGGAAGGCACTCGGGGTCTGTGACGCAGGTGCCCGCTGTACCCGAGGGTCCCCGTCTCAGCCCTCAGCCTCCCCAGGGTGGGAAATATGAGAAAATCCCCTATCTGTGCGGAACACAGACAGACTCTCTCCTGTCGCCGTTCCCCAAACAGCTTGGCTCACCAACTACGAGTATGCTGTACTCAGTACCACGGTAAAGTCATCCAGAGAGGACGGAGAGGGCACAGGAGGATGCGCTAGGCAGTGACGGCGAACCTTTCATCGCTGTGAATGACACAAACGGTCTGCTGTGGCCAGCGAGCCAAAGGCTCGCCACCACTGTGCTAGGTTCTTATACACAGCAGCATTTACAAGAGGGGGTGGAACCGCTTCGGACTTCGGCTTCCTAAGGGGTCCTGGAACCCAGGCCCCCACAGACACCGAGACGACTGGACAGAAGCAGCCGTGTGGAAACCACACCTTCCCCTCGGAGCACAGAAAGTCGCAGGCACAGCAGGGACCTACCTGGAGGCGGGCTCTGGAGGCCAGGGCTGCGCTGCTGCAGCCCAACCTGTGAGGGGAACCCGGCCAGGACACTGGCTTTCTGACATGTGGAGGGGCTGCTGGCTGGCGGGCATGCGGCTCCCTTCACAGCGGCCGTGCCTCACTTTCAGGCCACTGCCCAGGGCCCACGGAGCGGGCGGGAAGGTGCATGGCTGGGCGGGGGACACAGCCGCTCACAGTGCGTGCGAGAGGGGACAATTCAACCTCCAGGGTTGGTGCGCACGTGGGCGGATGCGGCACCCCGCGTGGGACAGTGCTCGTCACCACTGCGGCCAAGGCCTCGCACCCCGGGCCAGCCCTGAACGCAGGCCTTGTGAAAACAGGAACCATGGGGAGAGCCAAAGAAACCACCTGGCCCTCTCCGGCCCAGGGGCTCAGATGGCATGGACACCTTCCAGACCAGTTCCTGGATACATTTACCAAAGAAAAACACTTTTTCTCAAAACAACCTAAAACGCCGAATGGGGAACAATGGGTGGAAGTGGACAGACCCAAGAGACCGATTTCTGGACTGAAGCTCTGGAAAACACACAGTGCACACAACCCTCCTCCCCCGAGGTCCATTTTCTCTCTTAGGTCCTGAATTATTTCAGGTGTTTTTTTAAGATAGGGAAACGTTCTCAGCAAACTGGTTGCAATCCAAACAGCCGCTGGGCTCTGTGGACGTCACATTGAAGAGGCTGAAGTGCCCACTCGATGTCACCAGTGGACAAGCCACACAGCGTGGGGGCGGGAAGGGAGCCACAGCCTCAGCTTCCATTCTGGGCAGGCTGTGGCTTGGGAGCAGGGCCACCACCGGGGAGCCCGAGGCCCGGGTGGAGGGTCCCTGGAATCAGAGAAAGTGGAGGGCAGGCGGGGAGGGAGGCTTACACCTTCCTTTCCTCTCAGAGGTCCCGGGGCACTGCAAACGGAGACAGATTTCCCTTTCTGGCCAGCCTTATGGGCCAGGGGAAGGAACCAGTCAGGCCAGGTAACTGGCAAAACTACATGAGACCAAGTTAGGATTTTTCAATCTATAAAAGTTTTTTTTTCCTTTTTGGTACCGGGGATCGAACTCAGGTCCTTGCCCCTGCGCAGCAGGAGGTGAAACCACTAGGCTAAATCCCAGGCCCCAAAAGATGTTTTTTTGAGGCAGCGTCTCGCTATTAGTGCAGGCTGGCCTTGAACTCATGGTGATCCTCCTGTCTCAGCCTCCTGGTGCTGGGCTTACAAACATGTGTCACCATGTCAGCCTTAAGATTTAATCTTAGCCTTAAATTTGGTGGGAAAAACTAATTCAGGAATCAGCAGGGATATCAGCCTCTACTTATGTAATAAAACTCTTCTCGGGAAACGTTTTCCTGCCCTGCCCCGTGGCAGGTGTGGTGAACTGAGCGCAGTGACTGAGACCGAAGTCTGGGGACTGAGACTGTGTACGTTAACAGTTTCCCCAATAAAAAGATTTACACAAATCGAAGGGTCCTTGCGGGGGAAGCGAGTGGCCTTGCCTGGGGTCCTGCCAATCCCAGGAAGACAGCGGCCCTGGGAAAGGCGCCCCAAAGCCCTCACCACCCTTCAGGCCCAGAGGGGGCGCCTCGAATAAGCCACAGCCAAGGGCTGAGGGGGGATCCCAGTGCAGCACAAACAGGACTCTGCCCCGTGAGAGATCCCCTGTGGGGAGCGACCCTGCAACCCCAGGGAACAGAGGCCCCTGGGTCACACAGCCCGCAGCGCTAGCTGCCGCGTCACCGTCACCAGGGTCTGCTGTGCCCGGCAGGAGACTGGAAAGGCCGCCGTGGCTGCAGTCGCCGCGGGCTGTGACAAGTGCACTGCGGGCAGAGGCAGACACTGGGCTCGGGGTGGGAGGTGCCGTCGGGCAGCTCAGGGGGCGCCCGGAATCCTGGCCCTCACGGGACCAGGACCCTTGGGGGACGGACTACTTCTGTTTGGTGTGAAGTGAGCCGCACCCGGGCGGATAATTCACCCTGCAGCGCTACAGGCTACAGGCCCAGCACCGGGCTTGCTTCAGGCAGCTCAGCTCACGAGGTTCCGGTTTTCTGAATGCCCAAGCACTCTCCAGAAAAACAGCAAAACCGCCCCAGGATGAAGAAGCCGCACCCACACTTGGGTGCTCAGTGAGAACTCCCCTGGGGGTCACCCCTAAGAGGGGGCTTTGCGGGGGCTCGGGCAGCAGTGGGGATTTGGGCAAAGGAGGTAAAGAGGCGAGAGCAGCGTACCGGGAGCCCCCTCGGCGGGGGGTTCGGACAGGGAGAGGGGGAAGGGGCAGGCGACAGACTACTGTGGCAGAGGGGATCTGGAGGGAGAACGGGGTGGGGGGCCCGGCCCAGACACATATTAATGAGGTCAAAGATCCCCTGGGCAGGGCTGGGGATTTAGCTTAGTTTCACCACCTGCCTCACAAGCGTAAGGCCCCGAGTTTGATCCCCGGTACCCCCCAAAAAACTCCATGGGCAACAGGAGAGGCGTCCTGTGGATTTCTGACTTCTTCCCTCTGATTCTGAGGAGGGTGGGTGCTGGGGTCACTGAGTATAGGGGGACACTGGGGGTCTCCCGGCTCTGCCTGGCTCTTGATCTTGGCTCTTTCCGGGTGTCTTCTCCCCATTTATCCCCCAAGCTTGGCACCCCAGTTAGGACCAGTCTTCCTGTCTACTCCTCCACTTATATGGGACAGGACCAGGATCCCCAACCTTTCCTACACGACTTCCGGGTTTGGCTGAGTGCAGATGAACCAGGAGGGACCAGCTCAGCCACCTGGAGCCTCTAACCAGAGCCCAGTCTGTCAGAACCCACATGAGCTCTGCCATGCAGGCCGGAACGGGACAGGATTTTCATTTCACTCCAGCCCATCCCTGGGAAACTGCCAAGCATGAGCATGAGCAAACTCCAGGAAAGGAAGCTGAGGTAGTCTTATTTTTTCCCTTTGATTAACTCTAATTTAAAAATCTACACAAAAACATGTTCTTCAGTGCAGCCCGAGTCCCACACTTGGTGTGAAACACAGGACAGGGAGGAGTCTGAGTGCAAAGACTCAGGACAGTCACACACAAAATATCTACGCCAAGGGAAAACAGGGATTAGGAGAGAAAAGGAGAGTTGTGTACACACACAAGCACACACACATGGATGCACGCCTGCATGCTACAGAACCTACAGCTTCTGAAGGCAGGATGGAAAGAATTAAATGCAAACCAACCAACTTCTCCTCCCTGGATGATGACAAAGTTGAGAATCTGCTGTCCCCGCTGTGGCCGGAGTTCTGAGCACCAAGGAGGAAGACAGCTGTCAGTGGTGATCCTCAAAGCACTGCCCCCCAAGTGCAAGATGAATATGCAACTGCATCTCCAGCCGGAGCCAGAACCCCGGAGAGCCTGGAGTGGAGCCCAGACCACCCGGCAGCGGTCAGCAAGGGCAGCGTCTTGCTGCACTTCACAATTCCGTGTTAGTCTCAGCGTGGCCCTGTGGTTTATCTACTCCCACACCTGACTTCCCAGTCTCCACTTTCCCTATTGCACACCCTCAGGTAACTAAAATTCTGTTGCCTGCAAAATGCTTCATCTTTCTTCAGCCTGCACACCCGAGGGCTGCAGCTCAGCCCGAAGTGCCAGGGAGGGAGGAGGAGTCGGAGAGGGACTCTCACCCTGCCAGCTGAGACCTGGTTGTGGGAGGGCCCTGTCCTCACCATACCCTGGGCGCACTCTGAAAAGTCAGCGCCAGCCCCAAAGGTGGACCGGGTGAACCCGTGTAAGTTACAGGTGGAGGCACAAGGGGGCGCTGTGGAGAGCCCAGCCCACAAGCAGGTATTCCCACATCTGGAAGGAGTCTCCTTCCCCCCAGGTGCACTCCATGCCCTGCCTCGCACCCGTGCTGCAGTCTGTGCCCCCAGACTCAGAGGTTATTCTGGTGTTCAAACATTTCACTTTCCGATTATTTATTCAATCAGTTCTACAGCCGGTTTCACTCTGTGAGCACTGTTACAACCAGGTCCTATTGTACATGGGATTTCTAGAAGCGTTTCATAAATCTTAACTAAATAGTAAAGCGCACTTGTACTGTCTTAATGTAAAAATCAAAGATGAAAATCTGCGGGGATACGTATGATACACAAGTTGATGTGTGTGATAACTCCTCGCTGGGGACGTCCCGGAGAACACTGATGCTGGGCAGAGGCTGGACAGAATGTGTCCAGCTCCAGACTGTGACTCTGTTATCAATTACAGTGAAACAACACAGCAAGGGGAAAATTGCAAACCAGGCTCTAAAATTCCCCCAAGTGGCCCAGGGCCACCGGGGAGCACTGCAGCTGCCACCTGGTGACACGGGGACTCTGACCTACACGGTGCCGAGCATGTCTGCACAGATGTGTGTCCACACAGGTGTGTGCCCGCACAGGTGTCTGCAGGGGACAGCGGAGCTCCCACCCTGTGCCTGGGCCCTGCACGGCAGAGACACACAGTTGTCGAGACACACAGGTGTCGGGTGAGAGGGGCAGGCAGGGGCTTGCAGCTGGAAGGTCTAGTCTGGGGCATAAAGGCTTAGAGGAAATGTAATGAAAGCCCGTGCCACCCTGGGGGGCAGGAGGAGGCTCACAGGGCCGGCCCAACCAGTTCTGGAAAGCTGAGACTGCTGCTCTCCTGCGGGCGGGTCACCCATGCAAACAAAGCTAGGAATACAATTTAAGAGACCATATAATGTCTTTAGCACAGCAGTTAAAATAAAACTGAACGGCATGAAATGTATTTACTAAGAAAAAAAGTGACAGGAGAGGAAGGTTTTAGAACAGACCTGTTGTGGAGAATGAGGCCTAACTAGAACAGGTTAACCCGAACCCCCGCCCAGGGCAAGGCCACCCTGACAATCCAGGGTCTCCCCATGCTTCTCCCCTCTGCAGAGTGCACTCTGCCTCTGCTCCCCTCTCACCACTCCTGCCTCCCACCCTTAGCTGTGAGCATTCCATTCCTGAAGCAGAATTCAGTTCTCCTCGCTGGAAAAGGCAGGCTCTTGTGTGTGCGCGTCTTGAGATAAACATTAAAACTACAAATGAAGGGCTGGGGATTTAGCTCAGGGGTTTCGCTGCCTGTTGGTCAGGTGCAAGGACCTAAGTTTGATCCCCAGTAGCAAAAGAAAAAAAAAAAACTACAAATGAGAGGTCCAGAGAACTGTGGAAATGTCAGACCTGAGTGTGCATGCAAGCTGAACTTACCTGTACATTATGCACACAGTAACATAACAAAGGAGTCACCTTTAATCTTCGACTTTACAGTTGAATCTGGTTTCAAATTTAAAGAGATTCTTAACATTATCAACCTCTTAGGAACACCTAGAATGTCTGTCATCCTAAGAATGTCTGATAGCATCCTGAGAATGTCCGCTAGCCAGAAAAAGTAATCTTTCACGCTATAGTGCTAGAACAAGACCTCTTATAAAAAGAAGCTAAATTTAGCAATGACTTTCAGAAGCTTTCAAGCAACCTGTGTGAGTGCTGTGGCATGCGAGCTGCCGTACTAACCCTGCCAGATCTTCTGTTCGGGGGCTGGGATCCGTACAAGTCTCCATCATAACCATTAGTCTGTTTCAGTGAAGAAAAGAGAAAACCCACATCAGTATGCAAATGAAGGCACAGCACAAATCAGCAAGAAAACTTAGCCAGGGGAAAGCTGGGCAGGGGCAGCAGGGCAAGTTTGGGGAGGCGCAAAGCCCACCACATTCCCAGACATCCCGGCCTCATCCACACGACCCCAGCTGGGACAATGCCAGGTCAGGTGGTGCAACCAACAAGTCACACTTGGTTTTTTTGTTTTGTTTTGGTTTGGTACCGGGGATCAAACTCGGGTCCTTGTGAAAGCACTGAGCTAAAATCCCCGGCCCAGTCACGCTTGGTTTTAAGGTTGCCCTGTGGGGTGAAGCCCACGACTCCGGCAGCTGCTTTCCTTGGTAGTTTTCTCACCCAGTTTTACAGCAGCGCTGTGGCAATTCTAGCTTTTGGAAGCCTGGGCATCAGGCCAGCAGCGCGAGCCCACGAGATTTCAGGCCGTGGTTCAGGGTGAGTCCTGGGAAATTACAGCCCAGTATGAAGTACTTTATACGATTCAGAAATGGTTTCTTTCACTCTGTAATGAAATGCAATGCTCAGCCAGGTGTGGGGGGTGCAAGTCTGGGATCCCAGCACTCTGCCAGGATGAGGCTGGAGGATCAAAAGTTCGAGCCCAGCTTGGGCAACTTAAGGAGATCTTGTCTCAAAATAAAAAACAAAAAGGGGGTGTCACTCAGTGTGAAGACCCTGGGTTCAATCCCCACTATGGAGAAGGAAGGAAAGGAGTGAGGGAGGCCAAAGTTCAACATGGGAACAGTGTTTATCAAGGGGAGCATCTTCCACGTAGGTTTTTTCATTCTTCCAGGCTTCCTGCTTTGTTTTCTGAAGAGAACCCAGAAGACAAATTTAATGAGCTTTTGCCGCATCCTCCAGGAACAAAGGAGGAGCCTGGTGGGTGTCTGTGGCTGCCTTAGCTCGCCTCCCAGCCCAGGCCCCTCAGCCCCCACACTGGGTCCCCTGAGTGGCCTTGTCCTTCCGTCCTGGGCCACAGTAAGAGGTGCCAGCCCCAGGCACAGAACCAGCTCCCAAAGGGGGAGGAAGCGCACACCTGTGCATCTGACAACCAGGGTCACAGGGTCATGGGTCACAGGCACGAGGCCCAGGTCCAGACGGAAGCTCAAGTATGACCTCGGGTGAGTTATTTAATCCACTGGCGCCTTCCACAACTAGATCACTTGACCTGGTAACACATGTCAAGGACTTGTACATTTAGATCTAAATCTCGCTCCCTTGTTGTATCTTTTGAAACCAGTTTTTGGAGCCAGGTGAGGTGGTGCACACCTGTAACCCCAGCTATGCCGGAGGCAGAGGCAAGAGGACTGCAGGTTCTGAGGGTGGACTAGGCAACTCAGTGAGGCCCTGTCTCAAAATTTAAAATTTTTAAAACAGTGCTGGGGATGTAGCTGAGAGGTAGAGTCTTTGCTCAGCATGCACAAGGCCCTGATTTCAAAATCCCTAGCACTACAAAAAAAAAAAAAACTGGTTTGGGAAGAAATGAACACAATGCCACAGGCCGACAGGAAATAATTCTAGCAGACTTTATACTACACCAGGAAGGGAAATGAATCACACACAAACCCTGGGGTCCCTCCCTGCCGGGCAAGCCCTCCTCTGGCTCAGCGGGTCCCTCGCTGCCACTCCTGCAGCTGCAGTGAGAGACAGGGTGGTGAAGCTGGGCAAGCGAACTCGCACTCCTGTGCCGTGTCTCTTCCAGCGGGAAAACGCATGGCACTCACGGGACACTCCTGGGGGCATTCCCAGAGTGCACTCCGAGCACAGGGTCCAGCTGACGGTGCCCGCTCTGACCTCACAGAACTGTACTACCTTCCCCATGCTGCTTTCACTGCTGCATTTAATGGGCGGGGCTGTCTTTACAGGGCAGAAACAGGGTTCAGTGGGTGGGCGAGTGGCTGTCACAACACTCGGATTAAAAGCCACGGACAGCATCTTAACATCATCGGAAGTCAGGACCCGGATGTCTAGTTTTGCTCCACGGGATTCTCTCCTTACAGCCCTCCCATGTGGCTTCACGGGGGGCATGTGCTGTGTGCTTTGCTGTCACAAGCTACCAGAGGGCAGTCTGTGGGTCTCCCCCATTGCTGTCACCTGGGGTGCTTCCAGGCAGCGAGGGCCTCATGAAGGAAACCTGGACCCCAGGAATATGAACGGTGCCAAGCGCTGGGTGACCTCACACATGGCAGTAGAGGGCACATTCACAGAGCAGCGTTTTCTGCGGCATCGAAACAAGGTGGTAGAGGAAGAGGCCCTGCAAAATCTGGAACTCCAACAGCAACGTGTGACCCCCAGGATCGAACGAGTGCCATGCAGCTGCCAAAGTGCGGTGCCATCATGCGGGACCACACAGGCACCGTTGGCTTCCGAGTCATTCAGTTAGATTTCCCTTTCTATGTGAGTCGCTCAGCGAGGCACTTTTAAAGGGTGTTAGAGATGGCAAACCAAATGCAAGGCTAAATCAAAAATGCGGAGTGCAATGCTGGATGCAGTCGATGTAATTTTTGAAAAAGAATGGCATGGAAAACTGGAATCCAAAATGTGTTCCTGACCATTGCTAACATCTATGTTCATTTGCCCCAGTGAGACTGGCCCTTCAGCCAAATCTACTGTGAGGTGACAGTCTAAGAGCAGGATGGTGATGCTTTCAATTCCTTAAAGAACAGAACCGCTAGCTATAGTGTCACAAAAATGCTCTCATCTACGGGTGTGTGTGGAAATGCTGCAGAGAGACAACAGAGCCTCTGCGAAGGGCACTTCCTGAGTGCTATCCAGGCTTCGAGCTCCAATGCCAGCAGGTCTGTGCCTCACTGGGCCAGGATGGGCCTGCTCTGGGCACCGGGCGGATCAAACGCACTGGGCAGGCTACAGCACTCTTGGTTAATTACCAGCTTAATGAAAAAAGTACATTTTAGAAAGGAGAATTTGCCAAATAATTTCAAAAAGAAGTGGTCATAGGTGAGGCACCAGATGCTTGGAGGTAAGAAAGTCCTTTCTGCGAAGTCCTGGAAACGCTAACCCTAGGACCGGGTCACCTTCGTGGGGAGCCCTGCTTTTGGGTGAGATTAAATTTTCTTCTTTTAATCATAAATTTACAGGTGCTCTGAGAGCATAAGGCATTGAAACTCACTTTAGAGCTTGTCCTTCTCAGAGGGTATTTTCCAGCAGAAGAGCCAGAGGGTACATTTAATTTGAAGGGCGACAGATTAGAAAGCAATGAGGTTTACATCCGGTAAAATGACTTTAATCTTTGAAAAGAAATGTAGGGGCTTTAGGGTTTCGAGCCCAAGTGGGTTCCCTGAAAGCTTACTGACCTATTTCACCTCGGGTAGGTCTGGCCACCCCGCCCCCCCAAGGCCAAAGGCCAGCACTCAGGGGTGGAGCCTCGGTAGCCGGGCACCCTGTGCAGCTCCAGCCCCTGCCTCACGATCCCCAAGCAAAGTCTGGCGGTTGAACAAGGACAGCCTGGGCTTTCTGCTGGCACTGGGAATCAAACCCCGGTCCTTTGCACACCAAGCATGAGCACCAGCTGGACCACTGCGCCACACCCGGCTGCCCTGGGCTTTCTGGACAGCACCCCAGGTTAGTGGGAATGGAACGTGGGCTGTTCCAGGTCACACCACACAGTTAGGACCACACAGCAAGTCACATCCGACTGTCTTACCCAGACACAGGGACCCCTGTACTGCTGCTCAGGCTGTGACTGGCGGAGCAGAAACAACAGAAAGGAGAAGGCCCGAAGTAAGTTAAAAAGCTAAGCAGAACATCAAAATGAACTGATAGTCTTTAAGCTCTTAACAGAAATACATCTTTTGTGACTTCTAGGATCTCACATATATTTATAAAAAAATTATATTAGAACAATAGTGACCATAAAATCCAAAAACATTAAATAAGACTACCATGACAATGAATGCTGTAATTTGTAAAAGATGAAATGGCCTGAGCAATCTTATTTCTTCCTGTATTACATAATAGATTCTAATTAAATTAGAGGAAAATTCACAGATGCATCCTGTCAGTTTTTAAATAAGGAAGATTAAAATCTAATTTCCTAAGAGGACCATCCATGCAGATACCAGGGCAGGAACCTTCCCCTCCTGGCCTTTTTAGGGTTTATAATAATTGCCAGCTGGATGCAGAAGCCTGTGTGGGAGCTGCGGGATTCAAGATGTGATCATACCCTCGAAGTCTGTGCAGTCAGGATTTCGGTGTCAGACCCGGGGCACCTGGCCCAGGCAGAGGGCGCAGCACCAGGCCTGGGGTGGCAAGTGCAGATGCTGGCACCAAGAGTGGGGACTCCGAGCAGGGCACTAAGCACCCTGGGCTTGCTCTGCCCCTGTTACGATGAGGGGCCTGATTCTCCCCTCCAGGATCCCTGTTCTCAAGCTCTGGTTTCAAAGGCAGCCCACTTCTTTACAGCAAGGACATCATGGGAAAGCCCAGGGCAGCAGACTCTGGTGGAAAAGGAAAATCCCAAGGACCTTCTCCTCTCTCTCTGTGTGCTGCCTGTGGGCTCCCTGCATGAAACCACACCCGAAATACACCTGCTACCTTGGCAAACAGGAGCGGCCAGCAGAGAATTTTAACTCATTTTTCCGGTTAAGAGCTTTGAGAGTGAAATGAAGGCCAGCGTCCCTGTAATGGTATTAATACTCCAATCATTTCGAGCTCTTTAGGGGCAGGAAATCCTCGGAGAATCTTAAGAAAGTGACCATTCTTTTCCCAGAGAAATGTAAGTCACCATAGTCTTCACACAATTTCAGGAGGAGCATGGATCTGGAGATGAGACCTTATGATAGAGATTTGAATTCTGTCTCCATCTCTCTTCTCTTATTCTCTTGTATTTCTTATCAATCAGGCTTTATGGGGTTTTCTGGTTTTTGTTGTTGTTTTGTTTCTTTCTTGAGACAGGCTCTCACTGTGTAGTTCGGGCTAGTCTTGAACTCACTAAGTAGCCCAGGCTGGCTCTCAACTCACGTTTCACCTGCCTCAGCCTCCTGAGTGCTGTGATCACAGGCGTGTGCCATCAGTTCTGACAATGTCATCAATGGGGCCCAGGATGGTAAATCCAGTGGGCAGTCCTGCTCTCAACTGGCCACTTCCCTGGTCCCTTCACTTGCTTCAAGGGCTCGACCTTCTGGGCCCGCTGTGCCCTGGCTGCAGACTTCAGGACCAAGTCACAGTTGTAGCACATCCCGTCCCACGGGAACTGTGACTGCCCCGAAAAACCATGCTGTGCCTGCTTTCAGTGCTGCAAAGACAGGGGCATCAGCAGCATGGCTCAAAGGCTTAAGGACAATGATGCCCGTCACAGCTGTCACATAAAACACACTCAGCGCACACGAAAGTCGAAGGGTGGAACTGTGAGTTAACTGGCACAGTGATGGAAACAGCCTTCGGGTCCATGCAGCCTCTTAGAGAAAAGGAGTGGCCACTTGAGGCCCAGCTCTGACCTTCGGGAGACTTGATTTCGACCTTGTGATACATGAAGCCCACACGCTCTGGGGAGCTCACTAAGTGAAAGCACCACAAGACACAGTCTCCCAGAGCACACGATCTTCTTAAGCATGGTTATAAGGGTTTGGGATGTCTGTGGAAAACACCTTGACATAGATGTATATAAAGTAACTTGCCATTAAATTGCCAGCAATGAAAAGATTTCAAACCATTAATAAAAGAAAGGTTCCTGGGGCAGACACAGGTCTCACCCTTTTTACTAGGCAGCCTCCAGCAGCTATGCAAAACCATCACCGGATAATAATTAACTCACAGCTGAGTAAACTGAGATTCCAATTTTGTTTCGTTTTTGAGACAGGATCTCACTTCACAGTACAAGCCAGGCTTGAACTCACTATGTCACCCGGGCTGGCCTCGAACTCCACGAGACCCTCCTGCCTTGGCCCTCCCCTGCTGGGATGACGGCTGGCAACTGAGATTGCCATTTTATCCAAAGTGTGGGACAGGCATGCAGACTTGCTGCAGGCAGGACTGTGCCTTCTCACCAACAACTCCGAGACAACTGGTAATCAAGGTGTGGTGGTTTTGTGATGTAGAAAAATGCTAAAAAGGGGTGACTTCTATTCTGCAAGGCGGCAGGCCAAAGTGCCCATGCATATTAACAGTCTCTTCAGGACAGCAAAGAAATCCCATTAAGTGGATTTAAACAAGCAACTCCTCAGTTAGGTACCAGCTGCCAGACTCCAGGGACCAGGGAGGAGGCTGGAGCCGGGGCGGGAAGGTAGGGCTCGGGCCCCATGAGGTGCATGCAGACCCACCCCGGTACTGACCCGAAGACTGCCTCTGCTACCCACTGACAGGCGCTCATCTTCGTCTGAGGCCTATTGAGAGAAAGGAGACCGTGAGCCGACAACACAGCCTGCAGACAGAGCCCATGGCCAGGCCTCGGCTGATCCCTGCCGCGGCAGTGGGGTGGGGTGGCTGACACCCAGGGTGAGCTGAGGACTCGAGCCCAGGTCCTGGGCAACACGGGCTTTATCTGCCTCAGCCTGTTTATGGCTAACATGGATTTAATTTAACTTCTTGAAGTGATGATATTTACATCACAGGTGACTTAGCCCAGTTAGCCATAAAGCCCCAGGTCCATCACTGTGGAAGTGACTCATGGGTATTCGCTAGCAAAAGACACTAAAAAAGGCCAGGAATACTCACATTTCCCAAACACACTGTCCTTACCCAGCTCAGGTTAAAATGCTGAAGGCCAATTTCATAGTCTTTGTTTAGACATTAACACCAGTGTGTTATCAGCATTAGTAAATATCTACTTCAGCCACTCAGGGACGAGCTGGGCTTCAGCCGAGATGCCCAGGAAATGAGAAGCACGGTACTAACCGATGTGAGCCTCCGGGATCTGTGTGAATAGCGCTCGCTGTCCTCCTACCGAGGCAAGGAGGGAGAGCAGGAGAGTGTTAGGGACGCGCGGGTTGAATGTTTTCTTTGCCTTGATTTAAAGGTGTCAACTAGACCCCTTTCCTCTAAGGGGCTGGTTCTCAGCTTGTACAGGATTGGTGTGTTTCATTCCAGGGGCAGGAGCTTCGTCTTAATGTTTTCTAACCCCTCTGATCTGATCCATTTTAATGGCAGGCTGACTTCAGAGTCCCTGTGTAGGCAGTGGTGTCAGCACGTCCTCAGAATCAGCAAGTCTCAGAACCCCAAACAGTGGCCGGCCCGGGTTGAATCTGGCCCTGTCCTCTACATGGCTGTGGCAGGGGACCTATGTCGTCAAGGCTGTCTGCACTCGAGGGACACCAGGCAGGACGGGAAGGGGTGGGCGAATTAATGAGCAGGAAGGCTGGCTCTGGGGGCCAGCAGAGGTCATGAGGAGCATCGTGGGGCTCTCCTTGTGGGGGCTAGAGGCAGGGGCCACGGGGGTGAGCCCGCTCTCACCTGACCTGGGCGGGCAGGGGCCATTGTGATGCCACTGGACGGAGTGGGTGGAGAAGGTAAAGGGCTTTTCTCACCCGACAGCGGGGCGCTGCCCAGCCTGCAGCATGGGATGAGGGGAGCACAAAGGTCTGGATGGGGGATGGGGCAGCTGGCTGTGGTCCCGAAACAGGCTCAAGGCCTCTGTGGTTCCAGCTAGAATGTGACAGGGGTGATGGCCATGGGAAGATCCTCTGGGAAGGCCTGGCTCCAGGGGTCCTCTGTCCCAGGAAGTCGGGGGGCTGTGGTGGGAGCCCCAAGAGCTGCTGGTCCACAGAGGACACACGCGGTCGGGCCAGGCCACTTCTATGCAGGCCACACTGGGTGACGTAAACAGTGGGGACCAGATGCGGCCAGGCCTGGAAGCAGAGCTCTCGGTATCAAATTAATACCGTGCAAAGGGAATCTATCTACATAATTACACTGCATTAGAATTAAATTACGCAGCATTATAAGTCTTCAAATTGTATTCAAGGCCTACCATCCATTGCTCGATGTCACCCCATTTAGTATCCAGCCCATAATATTTCTAAGAAAGAAGGGAAAGAGAATTAGCCAGGGAAGTAAACAGTGCCAGATAAGAGACTGTTCTCACATGCACACCCCACCACCCCACGCCGCCCGAGAAGGTCGCATGCCAGGCAAAGCGGTCACAGCACCCAGGGCTGCAGAGGAACCCACCTGTAGCGAGACCCCCAGCCCAGCCCTGCAGGCCCAGGGGACCCCCACACTGAGCACCCCAGGCCAGAGCCTTCGCCAGCCCCTCTGAAGCTGTTGGGCTGCAAAGGATGGAAAGGAGTCAAACTGCTGAGGAGAAGCACAAGCTGAGAGCCATTCCGTGTTATGCGCCAGGAAGGAGGAGGCCAGCAGAGAGGGGTGCCCGTGCTGTCCCCCAGGGTCCTGTGCTGAATGCAGGCCTGAGAGCTCGGAGGAGCAGTGTCTTCTTAACTGGCACCTGCACAGGAGGGCTCGGGTGGGAGACGTGCACAGCCCTGCAGGCGACCCTGGGCTGCTGCCCACAGCGCCTGCCTTCACCTTGCTAATGCAGACCACCGGGTCCAAGCCAACGGAGAGGGTGGCTCAGCGTGGCTGTCACTGTCACCAAGCATGGAGACCCCACAGCCCAGGGGTGATGTGGCCATAACTAAACACTGAGCCTTTGCTTTCCTCCCTACTTTCCCTCCGATTTCCAATAGAAAACTGAAGGAACCGTTAAGCAAGCCTCTGGGTCATGCAACAGCGACGCAGCTTCTGGCTTCATACAGCAGAGTCTTACCGTGAGAAGGGAAAAGCTGGATGCTAGAGCTACAGGGTCATTTTTGAAATGGTTTTCAATTACTAAAACACACCCCTGCTAGGTTTGGCTTAGTTTCACCTTGAAAGCGGTCAGGTTTAAAATGCACGGCTCTCGGTGTGGTCTTTCTCTTAGAGATGGCGTAGGGAGGAAATTTGGGGAGAAGTTCAACAATGCTTTTAAAAGCCAACAGTACCAAAAGCCAAACTAATACCAAAAGCCACATGAGCCCCAACTTCTTTTGCAAGTTATTTCCTTAGCTGACAAATCTGGAAAGGAAATGAAAAGCAAACACCTCACCAAGTTGTTTCAACTTCAGTGAGCACATCAGCTTATCGCCATTTTGCTTTCAATTATTACTAGTTCTGCCGTTCCGTCAACTTCCAGAATTTCATGTGGAGATTACAATGTCCTCCTCTTTTAGCTTAATTTCCTCTTTAATTACAAAGACAGAAGGAAAATATATTTTAATGAAAGGGAGATCTATATAAATTCATAGGTTACTGAATTCCTAAAGAAGTATATTACCTGTTTGTCTATTTTCTTGTATTTCTTTGTGCCCATTCTATACCTATATGAAGCACTAGACATCCTCCAAATCTACCCCGTCACGGGTGGCTCTGACTCCGGCCGGTTCCTGCGTCACCCCACTGGGGAGGGCACCCTCGGGACAGCAAGTGCCACTGTGTAGTTGCAGGTGAGCAGGCAGCCCCGGTGTGGCTCACTCCAGGCTTACACATGGGCTGCAGTTGGCGTGAGTCATGCAGTGGAAGCAGGGGCCCGGCCAGCAGAAGGGGCCTGGCTTTCAGAAACAGCTTGGATGCAAGAGAAGGCACCACCCAGAACTCATGGGTGGGGAAGGCTGACACCTCCTTTTGGGGGTGCAGACGATCGGGTGTGGCTCTGGGGCTCCTGCAGCTGCCTGCTATGCAGTTTATATCCTGACAAAGTCCTTGCCACTGTCCCTGTGAACAAAACCAAGAAACCCGACAGGGATCTGGAACAGGAAAGGAACGGATGCCACTGGAAGTGACCAGTTCGAGGCCTTGTAGCGCTTGGGACAGCTACGCCCTGCCTTGTGGGGACAGGGAGGCCCCAGCCAGTCTTGAACCTGAGGAGCTCTTCCTGCCTAGGGGATGACTGGGAACTCAGATCTATTCAGCACTTAGGCCGGAGAACAGCAGTGCCCGTGGATCCTGCATCTGCCAGCCAAGCTCCTGCCTGAGCAGGACGGCACCGGGCGCCGGGGGGCAGGGTGGGCTGATTCAGGGCCAGGAGAGCAAGGGGACCCTCACTGAGGACCCAGCCCCAGGCCTGTTACCCCAGCCGCTGAGACTCGGGCCGCTTTCCAATTGTCTCAGCTGCTCTGAGAGAAAAACAGAGTTGTCCTTTATTTGGAAATAAAATTCATATAGAAATCCATAAGAGTAACCAGCTGAACTCATTTATGGGAAAGGCTTACTGGACCCCACTTCCTAAACCCTCAGGGAGCTGCTCTCCCCGCTTCGCTACCGCTGAGCCCCAGTGCTGGACCTGGCTGTCCCCAGAACTTCCGGGGCAGCCTGCTCTGGAGCTCTTCCTGACCTGGGCTGAGCCCTGACCGAGGGGGACCGGATACCAGCGCTGAGTGCTGGGGGAGGGCAGGGCTGCCTTACGCTGCTGGGTTTGGTTGTTATATCTTCATCTTCTTTCTTACCCAGATTTAAAAACCAGTATCTAATAATCTCTTCGTGTGAGAATTCAGGGTTTCTAATAAAGCTACCTAGAAAGATGATCTTTCTCATTCTCATCCAGTATGTGATTTCTAAAGGTTCCTCGAATTCTAAAATGTGATTTTGTCTTAGTTTTTTTTCGCTTGCAGAGACTCTTTCTAATCCTATCTTGAGGAAAATGGGGATGAAGGTCACAGAAGTGTGACTGCTGCTTTCCGTGGGCGGACGTGGGGCCCGCAGCCTTCTTAGACACACAGGGGACCTTGGCGTCGTCCTTTCTGGGCGTTGTTTCTGAAAGGTGACCAGGCCCCTGGCAGGGAAGAGGAACACGTCATGCAAGTTAGAAAATGAAGAAGGAAGAGCCTACCTTTTGAACCTGATAGATCTACAGACAGGGACACAAGAAAAAGGGAAAGAAAACAAAATCAGATTAAAGTAGCAGGGACATCAGGAAGGTTCTGTAAGTAACCAGAAATGAATTAAAAGCCATTCTGAGAAAAAAATGAGAACTGACAAAAAATTAATCAAGATGCTGGAAGTCCTACTGAAAGGGTTAGTCGTTTCCTCCCTCATTTCACACTATTTTAGATGCACCCACCGGTGAGACACGGACACACCTACATGGGTCTCCTAGAGGCTGCTGTCGCTGCAATAGAGAAGGTGTGCAATCCATCACCCTTAGAGGTGAAGAGCATCTCTTCACCCGTGACTGGAATTTCCTTCTCATAGGGATAACTTTTAAGTAAAAGGCGTAGAAATTTAATTGGAAAGCCAGCTGGTAAAATTCCCAAACCATGAAGAGACCTTTTTTGTTTTTAGACAGGGTCTTGCTATGTGCTTGGGCTGGCCTTGAACTCACTGTGTAGCCCAGGCTGGCCTCAAACTTGTGGCCATCCTCCTGCCTCAGCCTTCCAAGTGTTGGGATCACAGGTATGCACCACCACACCTGGCTGAGAAAGAGGCTTTCATGCTCCTTCATGCACATACACAAAGAATACCAGGAGAATTTCAGCAAAACCCAGTGACTACTGGGATGTGACTGGGATACTAGAAAAGAGGTGATTATTGCACACAGACACAGCAATCTGCCCGAGAGGTTTCTTCTGATTTTGCAGCCAGCGATCACTTTGTAAGACCGAGATACCCATTCATGTGCACTCCTTCCACAAAGCACATCTAGGTCAGACGTTGTTCGGGGAACTGCCAAGATTTACGAGCAGAAACTTGGTGTCTCTGGGCTCCCACGGCAGCGCACAGGTGAATACACTCCACATGGAGGCCCCAGTAATACAGCACCCCAGCTACAATGGACAGAGGAGAGGCACTGAGCCCTGCTGCTTTCTAGGAGTGCGGGTTCTCCTGCGGAGTTCGAGGCTCACTGGGATTTCCTGCAGGACATGTGCGTGTATTCGCCCCAATCAATCCACGCAAAATGAGCTCCTAGCCTCTGAAAGAGCCCCAGGGTCCCCCACTCGTAGCTGCAGCTGCAGTAGCTTGGGGTCTGGAAAATGGCAGCTAGCTCACTGTCCAGGCTAATGACAGACCCACCCCACCCCACCCACCCTGCTTGGTCACCTCTTTCGCTCTACACACTCTCCCTGGGGCAACCTCAGCTGCTGGCTGGCCACCGCCTTCCTCCAGCCCTCTGGGTGTCCTCAGAGCACCCCGGGGCCTCCGTTGGTCCCCGTGTGGCACCCATGTGCAGGTGCAAACAGGGACTGCACTGCCCAATTTTTACACCCACACACCCAGCCCATGGATCCACACTGGTCTTCCAAAGCGTATTCATTTCTCCTTAATCAACAACTTAAAATGCCAGGGCCCCAGGCTATCAGATGGTGTGAGCTCAGATTGTCGGGCCTCTTCTAAGAATAGCCAGGCCCGAGAAGACAAGACAGCCGGGCAGAACGTGGACTCTCAGGCCCTCAGCTGCTCCCCTCTCTCTCCGGGCCTGCGCACACAGACACCCCCGACTGAGTCCGACTGGGGAGTGGCCAGGTAGACGGCTGCTGCCTCTTGCTGTGCAGCTCCTGCAGACGGAGGTGTTGTCTCTCTTAGGCCTGGTGCACCGTGCCTGGGGCCAGGCAAGCACTGGGTTTTCAAGGCGAAGTCCCTCTACCAGGAAGGGACAAGGGTGACACCGCTGTTCCCCGCCAGGTGCCGGCCGCATCCCTAACTCTCATCAAGAACTTTCCACAAGGGAGTCCGCCAGCATCTGTGTGGATCAGTTCTACTCATAAGTAAGGACAGAACTTACATTTTTTTTTAAAAAAAATGATCACAGTAAAAATATTGTTGCTGCAGATGTACCTCAGCAGCGCAGTGCCTGTCTGGCAAGCATGAGGTCCTGAGCTCACTCCCAGGTACCAAAAAAAACTCTTGCCATTGATCCTCAAGAGTTCAGCCAGAAGCTGGGGACAGAAAGCAGCCCAGAGGCGGCTGTTCTCTCTGCCCAGCGCAGAACTCCCGGATCTTAACCCCAAGGGCCCCGCCTCCGCCTCGCTGTCTCCCAGCACCCAGGGTGGGCTCCAGAGCCGGGAGCCCGTGCACAGGTAGAGAGGGCGGAACCATGTGAGCAGTTCCCAACCCTTTCCCAGGGCACGTTCTTCAGGCTCTGCAGCCAGGGAGCTCACTCCGTCCTTCGGCAGAAACCTCTGCGGAAGTGCGTCTAAACCAAACAGGCAGGCGCATCAAACAAATAGTCCTCCATTCTTGCCCATTTTAATTCAGAGGCTCTGCTCACATCCTGGGTGGACAGTGAGGCCATGGAGTTCAGACCCGGCTGCCTGGGCTCCTGGTAGCTGGAAAGCAGGCCCGGGAAGGTCTCTTGTCACCCGGGGGGCAGCCACTCCTGGCACCCCTGGCCTGACCTTGGCATCAGCCACAATGACAAACACACTCCAGCGCGGCAGTGTGACCAGGACAGGTGCATCAGCAGCAACAGGTGCCTGAGCCTAAAATTAAAACCACCGCACGGGGAAGCACTCAAGACCCCAGCCTTACCTCCTTCTGCTGCCGCTCCAGCTCCTTCATGCGGATCTCTCGGGCCTCGGCGCGGGCTGCCCGCTTCGCTGCAAGCCGGGCCTCTGCCTGCAACAGACCGGAAATCTTATTAGGGACTGGGCCAGCTGCACCCTCCCGGGACTGGCTCCTGACCCGGGGAGAAAGTCCTGCTTGGAGCCTAATACACAGTGACGAATCACAGGCTTGGGGAAGTTAACAGGGTCATCAGGAAGGGGAATAGTACAATCAGAGCACCAAGGCCCCATCTGGGCTTCATCCCAGGCCTTCCGACACTGGGGCCCATGGAGGTCGGAAGACACTGCATGGAAAACTCCAGAATCACTTCATACGCTGTTTATTTTTTCAGGGCCTTTGCACTGAGCTACGTCCTCAGCCCTAGTTATTTATCTATTTATCTATTTATTATTTTGAGACAAGGTCTTACAAAGTCCAGGCTGGGCCAGAACTTGTGATCCTCCTGCCTCAGCCCAATCCCACAGTGCTGGGGTCACAGGTGTCACCGCCACACCCAGGTATAATTCCTAAATGTTTTAAAATAAGTTTTATTTTATCACATAAGCCCCTTAAGCCCCCTTCTCTCCCTATGTACAAAAGCTTTATTTCCATTTTTTCCTTCTATTTTCACGTTTCCTCTTGTCCCTTTCTTCCTTTCAATTCCTAAATTTTAAACTGCACCATTCAGAGGAGTGCGCCATTCATTCCCCGCACGCACGCACGCCGAGGCCGGGGAAGGGGCCTGTGCACTGGTCACTCAGCGGCCATCAGGCTGACCACAGCAAAGGCACAGTGCCGTGTTCAGGCGGCCTCATCACATGCAGCAGTCTCGGAGCCCAGCTCCCAGCCCTCTCCAGCCCCAGGGATGGGCGGACCCCCGCAGACCTCGGTTTGGGGGCTCCAGCCCGAGGTCCAGCCCGTCTGCTGTCTCAGGGTTCCCCTGTGGCCTGTCCCTGGCCATGAGAGACCCCACACAACCGCACAGTGAGATGCTGATTTGAGGAAAGGTCCCCATGGCCCCAGAGCTAGCTCCAAATAAAGCCTTTTCCCTTTTGACCAAAATAAATAGCCTCCTCTGATTTCCTCAGCTGTCAGCAAACGGCCCTGAGGAATGAACCTGTGTGTCCAGGACCAAGGCCTGGCTGCGGAGCTGCCTGTGCTTCACAAGCTCTCGGGCGTCATGGTTGCCAGCTTCTGCGGGACAGCATCTGACACGTCCGACCTGCCCAACCATGCTGCCACCCGGCTCCTGTATGCCATCTCACATCTGATAAATTCTGTGCTTACTCCTCTTGCATGCGACAGAGGGGCACAAAAGGCAGAGTCGCTGAACTCAGGTTTTCTAATGTCAATCAGATGCCACTTTCCTTGCATGCAAGTTTTCTGGGGGTTTGTCGAGTTTTCAGGCGTCTCGCTCCTCCCAGGTAATTGAGCTTTGGGGACACCAGCAGCCCAGGAGAGGGGAGAGGGCTGGGCTTCAGGGTTAGCAGGATGCTGCCTCCCACCCCACACGTCGCTGTACCACAAACTGACCTCTAGATTCTGACCCACGGGTGAGTGGTGGCCACAGCTGGCCTGTCCCGGGCTGGCTTGCTGGGCCTCTGTCCCTTGCTGGGGCTCCTGCAGCAATGCAAGCCCACCTGTCACCTCAGTGGCATTGGACAGCACAGCAGGGCCGGGCCTGCTCAGGGGCAGAGCCCCGGGGTCCACCCTGGCCATGAACCCCAGCTGCACCAGACCCGAGACCTCGCTGCCGTCTGCTGCTGTCTGCAGCTTTCCAGAGCAGTTGCGCCCCGAATAGTGCCTCTGGGTCTACAAAATCCCACAGCTGGAGGAGAGAGGCGGCCCACCGGATGTGTCGGTCCACACCCACATCCCTGCCAGGGCCAGCAAAGTGACCAAGTTCACTGAGCCCGCCAGTCCTGGGAGCCGAAGGCACAAATTGGACTCAGAAGCTGCCCAGCACTGTGGGACAGCAGAGTCCAAGGGACAATGACCAGAACATGACCAAATGACATCGCCAGGCAGCGTGCAGGATAGGAACTGCAGGGAGCTCAGGTCCCTGTGATGAGGCAGTTGGGACAGCAGCCTCAGCTCAGCAGCTGGGGCAGGGAGGGAGTGCAGCTGGCAGAATTCTAGAAGGGCCCCCAAATTCCCACCCCTCTGGTGTACATGCCCCGGTTGCCCCTCTGCTGGGGTGTGGGTGTAACTTAGAGAGGAGCCATCAATAGTCACCGGGTTTGTGCTTGGTGGGCCTGCCCCAATCAGGTGAGGGGAGAGAGAAGCTGGGGGTGGGGAGTCTCTTGCTGGCCTTGACAAAGCAAGCTGCCAGGTGGGGAGGCCTCTAAGGGGCTGTGCAGCCTCCAGGAGCTGAGAGCAGCCCCAGGTGACAGCCAGCAGGAATAGGGCACCCCGTCCCACAGGAGCAGGAAACTGCATCCTGCCAGCACCAGTGAAGCCTGGGAGGACGGCAGCAATGCAGACGGAAGATCGGGAGCTCCCTTGGCGCCACTCTGGGGCTGACACGGCGCCCACAGGGAGGCCATGCTCTAGTCCGAAGTCCTGAGAGACACCGGGCCAGCACCGCCCACACTGCCCCGAGGAAGATCAGCCACTCAGCGCTGCGGCAGGGCCAAGGCCTCCAGGACCGCTGGCCAAAGCGCCTGCACATGTGCTTCTCCTGGCGTGGAGACCACATACTCGGAGACAGGAAGTGGTGACTCCTGCTTCCTGGAGTCCGCCTGACAAACAGCCCAGCAGCCACACCGCCAGCAAACCCACACACCCTGTGCCTGCCTGGGTGGGCACAGAGCTCCGCCCAGATGCCCAGAAACTCAGCACTGCCTGACTTGCCTGCCAGGAAAACCACACCAGGCTCAACTGTTCAGCTCCTCCAACTCAGGGTTGGCAGCAGGGTCCAAGGGACAGGGAGCGAACGTGACCTCAGCGACCGCACCAGACACAGCCAGACAGGGCCAGGCGTGAACTGAATACAGTGCAAAGAGCCCAGGTGCCGGTGTCAGTCAGCCGGGAGCCCTGGCCCGCCCTCCTGTCCAGGGGCCAAGAGCACTGCAACGTGGTGACACCTGCAATCCCAGCACTGGGGAGGCTGAGGCAGGAGGATCGTCACGAGTTCGAGGCCAACCCAGGCTACACAGTGAGGTGTTGTCTCTAAAAGAAAAAAAAAAGATAAAGTCCCCTGGACCCACACTCCCTTACAACAAACATAAAATGGCAGGTGGGAGGGCACAGCTGGCAGCCTGCTTTCATGGGACAGCACTGCTCTGTCGCCAAGAAGGATAACCCGGGTCACTTGTAGGAAAGTGGCTGCACCTCAGGACTGTGACGCTAAGTGAGGTAAATCACACACAGGCTTCTCGCGGCTGCTCTCACTTGAGAAACCCAAGGCATTAGTAGCTAAACAAGAGAGACAGCAGGAAACAGGGAGACAGATATTTTGCAATTGGGAAGGGGACCCAGAGATGGGGTGGGGAGAAGAAGGAGCCACAGGAGGCACCGAATCACGTGCTGTCCCCGCACCAGGTCCAGGGTGAACGTGATGCTCACGTTCCACAGGCCATGCTCCTAATGAGCAAATCCCTGGACTGGCCTCCCGCTCCCTGCCCTTGCCAGCAGGGATGGGGCTCACCTGGCGGCCAGTACCTCCTGGGACAGCTGGGGAGGATTCTCAAGACTCAGGTGGCTGGGTCTCCAGAGACACAGGCCGAGTGGCAGTGACGCCCTGTGCTCGACAAGTGCCAGGCAGTGTGAGAGGACATGGGCACTGCACTGGGGCCCCGATCGCTCCTGGAGCCCAGGAACGTGTCCTGAGGGACAGTGTTCCAGACATGCCGCCCTGGCTGAGATGCAGGGGGCAGGCGTGGGGACAGGAGGCCACGGGGTGCCTGTGTGCGCCCAGCCAAGGCCACCAGCTGCAGGCAGACTCGCAGGGCTGAGTTAGCTGACGCCCTGCAGCCCCACAGCCAGAGCAGCCCGGGGAGACCCCGCCACCCGGCCACCTCCAGAGGCTGCAGAGCCCAGGACACCCCGCTCCTGAAGCAGCTCGGGGCTATGGCGCCTGCACACCTGGGGGCCGGGTGGGCTCTGCAGTTGGCGGTGCCCCCACTACTCCTTCTCGGCTCCGCACGGCATGGGAGATGAGGAAGGACAGGCTCTGCGGAGTGTGAGCTCTGATGAAGGGTGAACGGCTCAGGCCCCCAAACCAGAGTTCAGAAGACAGGCGGAGCTCTGCGAGCCGCCGCACCCGATCACCTCCACAGCCTTCAGCGGCCCCTGTGCACTGCCAGGGACTGAACCAGAGCAGCTGCTCATCTGCTGCCACCTCAGGGGCCTGGACCCGAAGCTTCCCGGCATAGCTGCATAGGGACCTCGAGGGCTCCCCACTTGGCCCATGCTGGTAGCGTCCTGGCTGAGATGCAGCCAGCAACACCTAAGGGTGGACAGTGTCATCTCTGGTGTGTCTTCGTTTGTTTATTTATTTACTTAAAGACAGGGTCTCGCTGTGTAGCCCAGGCTGGCCTCGAACTGAATTGCAGCAATCCTCCTGCCTCAGCCTCCCACAGGTGTGCACCACCACCACCACCCCGGCTCTCTGCTGTCTTAAACCAACCCAGGCTGGGAGGTGCGGTGTGCAGGGATGTGGTACATGGCTGTTAGGGGATGGCGCCTGGGGTGGGGACACGGGCTCTCCAATGTCACCCCAGCAGAGCGCCTGTCTCCCCGGAGGACTTGTCAGAAACGCAGACTCTCGGGCCGGGCCCGACTTGCTCCTGGTAGCGTTAGGGTTAGGGGACCGCTGCTGCCCAGGGCCACGCGTCCCAGGATGTGACAACTTTCAGAATAAACAGCAACAGCTAAGAAGGAAGCGGGGGAGGGAAGTGGAGACGCCCAACCAACAGCCGCCAACATGCTGTGGGCAGGAGAAGCCAAGGCCTGCAGGGTCCTGCTGGAAGTGCTGGGCGCTGCCTGTCTGTCTGATGCACCCAGGGAGGATGGGCGGGCCAGGCCGGCTGACAGCCTGGCGTCCACAGCTGCGTCTCTCCTGGTGGGGC